GGGGTTGGAATCAGTGACATTCTTCAAGGCCAGTGTAAGATTAAAGACCGGGCTGTCGTGCCTCTGATCATATATTCACAAAAGATACCCTGTGAAGAACACATCTTTAAAGAGAGGCTGGCTGAAAATAAGACCACTACTTGTGAATATTTGTGGCAACCCATTATACATATCATATAAATGGTCCATTACTGAATAAGGAGATTACACCCCAGAGAGTTTTTTTTAGTTACCCTTCTCATTTTCTGTTTGCCCTCTTTTTTTTGGCACAGGCCTGTGAGCAGCTGCCTCCAGTGGCACGAGTTTGTCCTCTATGGTGTTTTATGTGTGGAAACGTCCTGGATCCAAGGTTTGGATTTAGCTGGAAGACCTTCTTTTTTCTTGATCATACAGAATCACTCCAACATTAAAGCATTGTGGCATTGAGCTCAAAGAGCACTGATAAAAAAAACTAACAGCCTTGGGCATAATGTGCAACCAGGAGCATTTATGCAGAAATGAAAAATGTCAATAGTGCTTCCTTCCATAATATTGCCTATTTTACTGGCACATAACACTGGCCTGTGACTCATGAACATAAATTCAGTCCATACAGTACAGTAAACTGAAAAATGATTAATATAACTTTCATCTTGGGTTTGCTTCACTTGGTGTGGCCTTGGGTCCTTTAATAGTCGTCGCGCAGTGGAAACATTTAATAGCTTGCTATTCTGCATGTCCTTCAAATAAAATGTTTCCATAATGGATTCTCATTGGTAGATATATGTATATATAGTTCATCACCACTTTCCAGGGGGCTAGATCACAGGATTACAGACCCTGGAAAGGGACAGCAAATGACTAAGCTACTGAGAAGTATTAATATAATAATCAAGTGTTTCAGGTTGCTCTTAATTCAATTGTGTCTCTTAACATTTCCCGGCTATGTCAATCAATGTGCCTGCCTTGTCTTTAAAGCAACAGAGGAGTTATCCATTCTGGCACCATTAAAACATCAATGTCTCATTTCTGCTAAATGGCAGAGGAAAGATAATTGGCATGTGTGCATGCATATTAATTAACTGATAATGAGACGATAAGGTCCCCTCACTATCTGCAGATGTGGAACCACTAATCAATTGGCAGTGAAATGGGGTAAAAATGCGCTTCTTTTATCCCACTACTGAAATTAAAAACCTATTTAGTACCACGTTTTCCAACAAAGTGCTTTTCATTTATCTTCTCCAGCACATTATTCAATCACACTTTCCATTTGTATAATGGTAATATTTTCATGTAATTTCCCACTGCCTCTGAGATGGGTATTTTTGATATGGCTTTGTGAAATGGCTATTCCATTCCAGCTCCATTCACTAGCTGGTAATAAACTTACAACCTATATTTCAGATTAAATGTCTTCAGCAAATGGAGCCAGCCTCAGATGTCTCACAGCAATGTGGAAAGATCACTTGTGCTCCCTGGTGGCGGCAGAGAGAACTACTTCAGTGTTTGTCTATGCCCCCTGGTGGCAAAGACTGGGAACAGCTTGAACATTTTTGTAACCCAACTCCTGGCAACATTTCATTATTGCTGTATAAAGCACTGACTGTCTCTGACTGTTCAGATGAACAGCAGTAACAGTCTTCTGATATGCAGAGCATGCTATCTAGTTGGAAAGCTTCAAGGTATCCACAGCTGAAACATAAGCTGACTATCTTCAAGGGTTGCTGCTTTAGCCTGCAGCAGAATTGGAAGCGTTTGAAAGAGTCTGTTGTAACTATCAGCCCTGACCAGAGGTGTGTGAGCGCTACAGAGGAGGAGGAGAGGAGAATGAACATATAGGGGCTGTAAAAACAGACAAAGGCGATGCAAAGTACCCCGCAGGGGACTGTACAAAGATCTAAATGAAGGCTGAAAAGGAATATATAAAGGCAACACAGGTACAGAACAACACAACGCAGTGTTTGAATCAGTATTTATCACAAAATAGTTTCCGGAATATGAATACAAGAGCTGGATTTTTATTCTGAAGTGTGTGCATTTCTGTGTGTGGCTGGCCCAGAAGACACAGAGGTTGATGGACAGTAGTGCAGCGTCGCCTCCTCCTGCTGACAGGCCCTCCTTCACCCCAGACAGACCAATCTGTACACACAGCGACACAGACACACAGAGCCCATCTCAGTCACCACACAGCCCATTTGTCATGTCAAATAGCCTCAGAGAGACATGGCGGTCAAGTTATAAAGGTGATTGTATCAAAGTGACCCCAATGTGATGGTCATAAATTGCTTGCTTTATCGTGAGGCACTGTTCCATTGATAGAATTGAAAACAATAAAAAGGACAAATTCAATTGATAAGTAAAAATGGGAAAACATTTTTCATGTAGATTGTGAATATTTGTAATATATATCATATTTCTTACTTTGAGAAGAGTTTAGGATGAGGTGTAAAGATTGCACTCAGCTGGAACTCTTAGTTTTTTCGTCCTTGTTTTCCTCTGTTGTTCCATTGCTTTCCTCTGTAGACGCCTCCTTGGTGGAAGTGGCTGTCTTCGGCCTCTCCTCTGGCTTTTCAGAAGGGTCCACCACCATGGCACCCCGGCTTGTGTTGCAACCCATGATTTGGCGAAATCTAAGAGTCTTCACTGCGCTGTTGAGCTGATGGGAGTCCGGAGGCTTATTGAGTGTTAAAACACAGGTCATAACCTTAAACCCTGTGTAAGTGTTGTGGGCTCAGGTGCCTTTGTTCTCTATGGCAACCTTGAGACTTCCTGTTGAGTTTGGGCACCTGACTGTGTGTTGGTTTCTTTTTACGAGCCTTTGTCTGCTGGCCGTGCTGCCTTTTGGTAATTACCTCCCAAGCAACATTGGTTGAGAATTAACTCGGTGGCGTGCCAAAACATGGTAACTAATAAACAGTGAGGGGGATTGTGTGTCAATCACAGGGCAGCCATGGTTACCAACTGGATGGGAGTGTCTGCTTTCGTTTAGTCAGAGGAATGTAGATTGTATATATCACCATTCAGTTAATGTCAGAGCACATTCTTATTTACAGGTCCACTGCCTCTTATGGTACAGTAAAAGGGGAACAAAAACTGTAGATGATTAGTTTGGTAGGTACATAGTTTTATATGAAGGTGGAGAGTGAAACTGAAAAATGAAAAGAACAGTATATACCATAGATGATGTCAGTGAGTCCCTTGCTGCTTGGTCACTTGGTACAATAGTGCTGCTCTGCCAAGTAAAAACAGGTTTTCTTGTTGCTTCTCATTAGCTTTCTATAAAAGGGAGCAAAGTAGAGTGAGGCCAGAATGCTGAGTGTAAACCAGCTCCCTTCGAACAGAGAACTACATACAGTATAAAGTAGAAATTCAGTCCAGAGTCCAAACTGTCTTTGGGGGTAAAGTCTGTGATAATTTCACCACAGAACAAAGAGAATGATTTAATCAGAATGTTGTGGGGACACCAATACAAGATCCTTGTTATATACAGTATGCTTGTATGTATCAGTTTATTGTTTACTTGGAAGAATACATGATTTTGATTTAACAAAATTTTTTTTTTTTAAATTAAAGATTATCCATAATGTTTTAATACATTTTTTTTTATTTTTTTATTTTTTTTTACAAAAATGTAAAATCATCTATTTAGGAAGTGAGTTAGGAAAACCCAGGAATCAGTCAATAAAACTATGCAGCCCCCCATGTGAAACTATTATTATTCAGACAGCTTTATTAGTTTCTACATACTTCAAGTACCATTGAATAAACTTTAATAATGCTGATGTAACTTCTTCACTTTCCCTTCATTCCTGCGAAGAAGTAAAGAATCAAGTTTCACTTTTTTCAACTGTTTCAACTTGAATATTGGAACATTTTAAAAGATAAGAAAGCATCATTATAGGATAAAAACAGGGAAACACATTAAAAATTGCTTTAGAGTGGCTTGCAATGAACACTTAGTATCATCCCTCACTTAATCAGAATCTAGTCAATTACAATCAAGTATTCATGAAGGCCATAGACACTGGTGAAGCTCGTCCCCATGAACCCTGTGAGTGGCAGACAAGCTTGTCCCTGTTTTAATTGCAGTTCAGTTGGTACTGTATTATCCTTTCTCAGTCTAACCTTTATTTATCCAAGGGAGGTCAACTGAGCACTTTCCAGCTATGCCCTACATTAAATTCATACACTTCAACCAGACAGCTGCCCAGGACAATGACAATCTTCTACCACTGGCCACTGAGCTGAGGGCTAAGTACCTTATATGTCAGACATAATGCAGAACAAAAGAGAAAAAAGGCATAATGTTAGCTTAGACTGGAAGACAATGACAAAGCTGCTCTGTGCTGCTCTTTTAACACTGTTGTTACAGTCTCAGAAACAGGAGCAGAGTGAGACTCCTCTCTGCTCTAGTGCAGGTTCGGCTTTGTAACTGGAGAGGGTTGGTCCTGGTCCCTTCTTGTCACGCGATCATTCACCACATTCCTTAGTCGCCTATGCCAGGCTGACTCATCCAAATGAAGCCTCTTTGCTGAAGGACCACCTTCTTCCTCCACCTCTACTTCCTCCTCCTCCTCTTCTGTATCCAAAGATACCCCAAAGCTTCGCCTGTTGGTTGACCTGCCCGTCCTGACCATGTTATTGATCTCACGCAGACGCTGTTGGAAACAGAACGGATATTTGTAGCAAAACTAACTGTGACTTAATCACCTAAAAATAATGAAATCAATAATTCAGCTCTACTAAAAGTGTACATACTAAACATGCATATCCAATATCTTCAAGCTACACAAATTAAATAATATAATTTCAAGATGATGGTCACTAAGAAGGTTTCCAATGTTCTGTCCACAGACCTCTGGGGGGCTTGAGTTGAAGTAGTAGCAGAGTCCGGTTGTACGGGGTAAAGTGGTTTCTGGGTTGTATGGTGAAATGAAGATGGGGTAGCTGGGGGACAGCCTGCGCCTGCGAGGAGATACTTTCCACTGTCTGGGGTATGGAGACAAAGGAGGGGTGTCTCCCTACACAAGAGTGACACAGGATATGTTAGAAAACCCCATTCTGAAGTTATGAACATTTTACACATCCTTGAATTTGTGTTTTGTGTTGTGTGTCCGAGATTTGTGTGATCTCGGTTTGTTACTGTCTCCTATTGTTCATACAGCAAAATTCAGAGACTTGAAAGGGTTCACTTACTGCAGGGGTTGGGGCAAACTGCTTGGCAAAGTGCTCCATCTTTGTTGTGTAGACCTGGTTGTAAAAGTAAATAAGGTTGCCCCTCTCCTCCTGACAAGGTCCCGGATAATGTGTTGATGGTGTGTTGGGGGTCAGGATACCGTCGCTTTGGTCACCATTATCTGTAATCAAAAGTGTAATAAATGGCCACTTCTCATGGTGGAAGTACAGTAAATTGTCTCCACTTACATTACTGATATAATGCAGGTAATAGATTGTGAGTTATTGTGGTACCTTGATATAGGTTTCTATAATGCCTCTTTCCAGCCACACAGAGTGATACTTGACTTATGGCTGACCCTAGATATGCTGCCTGAAGGGCTTCAGTTAAATTGGTGCTGGAGCCAGATGGTAACCAAAGAAAAAAAATCTGGCCTGCATGCCAAGAAATCTTCTAACATGCTGGTGATACTCTCATGTTGGTGAGTCCAGCTGGAGATGTATAGAATTTGTCCTTTAAAAATGGAGTTTATTTAATCACCTCATTTTCCTGTGAATGAGTTTTATTTGAGCTAACAGGATGTATCTATGTCATTGCAACAGCAAAGCCAAAGGCAGTTTAAATTCTGTATATAAAATATGTTGAGATGTATGTTGAGATGTAGCTGTATAAATCAGCTATTATTAGACCATACTGTGTCATAATGTCCCATATCAACTGTACACACTGATTCATGTCTGGGTAATCAGAGGATGTTCATGCTCTTACTGTTGTTTCCAGTGAGATCATTTTCTGTCTCTCTTCCAGAAATCAGCACATTTTTGCAGACCTGAGAACAGAAAATGTCTGTGTTTGTAACTTTTGAACTAATATAGCCGTAACACACACAAAGACAAAACCTATGTATCAATATCAATATGTGAATCACACTTCATCTGTCAATTAAATGGCACAATGTTAATGTTCAGTAACATCTTGAATCACATCTTATATTTGATTTAAGCAAATCAGCTCAAATGATGGCTGGAATAATCTTTCAAAAAACAAACTTACACTTTTGTTGGCAAGTGGCTTAGACTTGTAGCACTTCATTATGTGTTTGAAGGGTACCTCCACCTTGGTAATCTGTAAAAGCAATGCAAGTTCCATAAGTTTATGATTTCCAAGCAAAAGTCACATCTCAACTATTTTATTAGCAGGGCTCCTGTCAGTGAGTGCTGAGAGTCTCTAAGATCCTTTTGCTATTTAATACTTACTAATATAAATATAAAGTTGGCTGTCCCTTAATTAAATGGTGTCACTAACAATTAACACTTTATAAGGGGTAATAGTGTAATAGTAGAATGAATAAAAATTAATGTATTGCATCATCAATTAAAAAACTATGCAGTGGGTATGCAGGAGTGTTAATTTACTGAATTACAAAAGAAGCGTGTTTTAGTGACATGCTTTAAACTAATTAAAGCCCTTAGTAATCACACACAGACAAAGGACATCCCTGCAAACATGCAGCATGTTTACCAAATCAACCAATGACCATTAAAAGTCCTGAGACTCTCGAAGATATATCAAAAGCACACCTTCGCAGTGATGTAGATGGCACACATGAGCAGTTGGTCCAGGTGTCGGTCTACCATGAGGTCAGTGCAGTAGACCAAAGAGTGCTCAAAACAGGTCCAGATCTTCAACCGCAGATCATCAGAAATGTCCAGTGTGGAACACAGCTCCCTCAGACGCCTGCCCATCAGGCTGTAAACCTGAGACAAAGAGAAACTGACCACACTAAACATCTCCAAATATTCCCAATAACTTCCCCTAAGAAATGGTTACATTCCCAGACTTGTGCCAAGTGGAATAAAAACCTAACAATATCATACCATAAATTACTTGACCAAGGGGGGAAGTGAGACAAAATCCAGTTCAATACATGTTCAAGACACAACAACAGAGCTATAATACAGACAGTACATTTGTATTTACCATTTGAGCCAGGATCACTTCATGTAAACAACATAAACACACAATATAACAGTGTTTGGTGACTTGACTGTTCTGGAGTCTCCGTCTAAGTAAAATGGTGATTGCGATGATAACTGTTATTTGGAGCCACAGAATAGAATATCATTCCACACACGCTAGGTAAATGTTATGGTGCGGAGTATTGACTAACCTTACGAGCAAACATGTGGAGAGAGTTGCATCTCCGAGGCCTGTTCACAGCTGACGGGGAATGCTGTTGGTCAGTGCCGGCAGACAGGTCAGCTCCCGAACCAAGACCCACTGACAACAAGATAACTGACCATCAGTCCATGGTAAGAATACTGTAGTCAGTTTGTAATTGAGGAGTGTATGAAGTGCAACAGAATTAAATCAAAAAGGAGCTTTAATACACTGCATTTATACCTGCTGGCAGGTTTCGGTCAGGTTGCAAGTCTGTAGTCTTTGGATCTTCAAGCTGTGTAGGAGGCATCACCTGTATATGACACAAAGCCCTCGTTAAAGCCCCATGTGTGTGAAGAAAAACTGAAGTGATGTTTTGATAAAGAGCCATCATTAGTCAGTAGAATAAATGTTTTAATCACATTTCTAATTTCATCTTACTCAGAAATTGTCGTCAGCATTAACCTTGGAAGAAACTGAATATTAAGTCTTAGATAACTCTTGACGCAAGATGAAGTGTTTTTGTGTGTTTTATTGCCAACCTGTTGGCAGGTCGGCAGATGGCCCTCGTTGGGTCTGAGTTCTTCCCACAGCGGTGAGTCACTGGTCCAGGCCAAGCTCTCAAGCACTTTCTCTTCCACTTGGGCGAGGTGTGTGAACACAGCACGAGGCAGGCCCACTTCAGCCCGCAACACCAGCTCAATCACCTGCCAGACCACAGGAAAACAAAACAGAGGTCTGAGGTATCCTCAAAGTTAGAGATGGCAGGGATGTTGTTCTTGGTTCAAATCTCAGACCTGATGGGAAACTCTCTAAAGAAATGTAGCCCCTCTCCACTCTCTCAGGAACCACTGTTAGGGTTCCCTTAAGGCAGGAATGTAAACATACTTTCTGCTCTGGAGCTCGTCCCATATAATTGTTCTTACAAGTGTCTGTTCTACCCTTCTCTGTCCTGTGTACTCTCCATAAAGACAATAAAAACTGACTGGCCCAGGGGACTTCAGAGTGTTGAAACATGATGTGTTTTTGTGGCAATTATTTGGAGTTGAGAACTGTTGATTGACAGCAATTTTATTGCTAACACACTTAGGAACACACCTTCCAGAGGTGGTACGGAGCCAGTTTCAGGATCTGAAGGAGGAGAAGGAAGTCACAAGGCAGACGGTTTGAGGATATGGTCATCTCCAGACAACAGGCCACCAGACAGCAGTGGAAAAGATCATTCTCCAAGATGGCCTGCGACAGACACATCACAAGCACAAGTGCTTTATTTTAAAAGAAAAATGTAGAAAAAATGAATAGAGATCAAAGCTTTAATTTTAAAAAAGGCTCAGGATGGACATAAACATGTAGTTGTAGTGTAACAAATTCATACAGTGCCCCTAGTGTGTGGAAAAGGTGTTTGTCAGACAAAAGTTCCAGTTGTGGCCACAGGAGGGCAGACTCACTGAGATGTCGCTGATGCCCAGTCTTTTCCTCTCTTGGCTGGCATGGTTCTCCAGGATCCTGTAATACCAGATCCCCGCTTCACAGCCGCACTTTGCTGCCAACTCTGTGAACAGTATCACATGAATAAAGTGAAATGTATCAGTAACAAGGGATTTGATACCTGTCATTAAAAACCAGCCAGCTCTCTAATAGTGTAGGGATTTAAAACACTGTAGGTGAGCAGACAGTGGTTCCCTGCTGTGCTCTAACAGGCGTTGTTACTTCTGATAGAACCAGTTAGTATTAAAAATGGTGTGTCTCTTAAGACTAATAAAATTTTGGGCTATTAAAGGTAACACTGTGAAGGCCATAATCATCCTCAAGAAATACTGAACATAACAGTGTTTTTTTAAATTCAGCTTTGGCCATGCATTCATCCCAAACATTTAAGTAACTGTCAGACACCTCGTCCCATTGTCTGATGATCATTGACTGTGTTAGCATACCGTTGGTCGTCTCATTTCTTGCATTGTCCCGGTGGTGTTGCAGAAATGTGTGCAGCATACGTCTCAGTCTGGCTTTAATGGCCTCGGTTGGATCTCTGGAGCAGGCCCTGAATCAGAGGAATCACAGTGAAGCAGTTAAATGAGCGCGAAAACCTTCAAGAAATAAATAAAAGGCCACACAAGGTTTTTTAAAAGCCCTCACTGCAGCTGTAAAAGCTCTCTTAAAACATTTAAAGAGTATACAGACACCTCCCCAACTGCACATAATGTTTACTCATAGTGAAACAGTCTTTTGTCTCAATGCTAACCTTTTTCTGTTTGCTTTTTACCACTACACCCGACGTTAACTGTCAAAAACACGCATGTCAGACTGTGTAGTGATATTGCAGTATTACTGGGCTTATTGCAACTATCAGTGTCAGTAGCTTTGTTAAAACTACCTGCTGTACACTAAAATAACCTACACAGATAATGTTGTAATTCTTAGATCTCATACAAACAACATGGCCACCATATGAGTAACACTGCGAGACTGTAGCACCGACCTGAACATAGCGATCAGGCTGTCACTGGGGCCAAACCTCAGTTTTCCCAGGTTACCCTGAGGCTCGGTGGTTGCCATGGTGACCACCACACTCCCACCGGATGAGAGTCAGAGCAGGAATGGGCACCTAAACAAGGGAAAGAACATTAGAAACACCGAGAGACAATTGAGACACATACAACCATGCAGTGCAGTACAATCAGTGACCAGTCATATTTTCATAGTTTGATTTAAAAAATAAAAAAGTATCTTAGCTTGATATCAGTAAAGAGACAGTTTCACTCTATAAACTGTTTCTTGAACTGTTTCTTGCACCACAACCACAGACATAGATGTGGTGTCTGTGATGTCACCCATTACGGTTCTGAAGGGATTTACACGAAGAGTTTGACATTAACAGGAAATACACTTATTTTTCTTTCTTTCTGAGAATTTTATGAGAACATTGATATCAGTCTTGTGGCAGAGGGGTTTCAAGCTTCCTAGAAAGTGAATGGATGGCAGTTTGGCTTTCCATTATACAGGAAGCCTAAAATTTAACTGATGGTGTTAGCTGTGTTGGTAGCCTTGTCATCCACAACTCCTTAGTGTCTCTATGCTGTTCATTTAGTTAACATTATTTAGTCTCTATGTCCTGGCCTCAGCAGGACTCACGTGTGTTACTGTACATCTCAGATAAGTCAGCTTTGCAGATATTGGCAACACCCTGGCAGGATGGTGACTGCTGACTGTCATGTTGAGTTTAACAAGAGTTTAGACACCTTAGATGCCACAGAAGACTTGTGTCTGTCAGTAGAAACTGTAATAATTAAACCTTAATCAAAGCACACCATGCAGTACAGGTTTCAATAATAAGAGGGATTCACAAACAAGATAATACTAGGCTTAACAGACAGTATCTTCTTTGTCAGCTTCTACTTAAGGAGTTTTAGTCCCAGCCTGTATGATGTGAAAATATTATTTCAGGTGATCTGGCCATGGAGGCCATGCATTATCAACATTAACAGTAATTATTGGTACTTTTACATTGAATACCCGTCCTCCATTCTACTTCACTCAAACATTTCAGTTGGGCCATTCTGCCAAATCAGGGCCTTTTCCCGTAACTTGGACATTACATGCATACATTTGCATGAAAGGTATCAGTATAATAAATTATATCCACGATCAGCCATAACCTCACAACATATAGGACTTAAAGGATCTGCTGCTAACGTGTTGGTGCCAGATACCACAGCCCACCTTCAGAGGTCTAGTGGAGTCCATGCCTCGACGGGTCAGAGCTGTTTTGGCGGCAAAAGGGGGACCTACACAATATTTAAGTTTCCTGCAAGTCTTTTTTTCTGTATTTTTGATCATATTCTAAGTATGACCAAGAAAGTCAATCTCAACGTACAGTTTTTTTTAACGATAGTTTTGGCAAACCACTTGAAGGTAAGTGTTCTCATGCTACTCACATTGTTCCCATGTGGCTACATTTCAAGCATTTGCTTAAAACTGAGAAAATTTAAATTTTCCAATTAGAAACTTGTAAAGAAAAAAACAAATCTATATTTTTTCTGAGATTGACACCTACACATTTTTAATAGTTAAACATGAGTTCAATCAGTTATGGTGCTTATAAAAGATAAAAAATGAAGTTTCTTTTTAAAAAGTAACAACATGCAGATGGCACCGATTTGGTAGAATGCCCGTTTATCTGAGTGTTAGTTCCCTTCCTCTGAATGAAGACTCTGTTTCTCTAATCATTCCCACATATGCTGTTTATCTGGGTTACTGTCCTCAGTGAATCAGGCAGACCTCAGTCTACAGTGACACGTGTGTGTGTGTGAGAGAGAGAGCGAGCGAGATTCACAGAAGAACCACAATCTGACTGTAAGGAAGCTGAGAGAGTTTCCACGATACAGAATGCGAATAAGTACTGAACTGGGATTTTGTTCCTTTATCAGATGAGTAAGTCTCATACAGTAAGTCTATACAGACTGAGCACTATGTGTGCACTTATGTGAAAAAATCAAATATAGCTTCAACAACTTTTAATGGGGCCATTTCCCTCCTATTTCCTCTTCATGTAGCCATTTTGAGCACCACATGACCACATTTTGTTCAAAAAGATGTTTTCAAATGTAATCACCTGCCTGCCAGTTATTTTCTGTCAGTCTAGCTTTCTTTTGCTCCCTAGACTTTCAGCTGTTTTTTTAAATAACAACACACTTTCTGAATTATCCTGTTTTGTCTCTTCCACTGTTGACACACAGCCACGCTCCTTTGCATTCAAAGCTCTCTGTAGAATAAATTCAGGGATCGATACTATTCGATTCTGACCTTTGTTAAGATAAACAAATGAGGCTTAAGTGAACAGCTGTCTTGCCTAAGCATTAATACACCTTTCCAAGATAAGGCTCCTTTTATCTAGTGATGATCTAAATGAAGTTGTTAATGGCAGTAGTTCTTGATCATTATTGCAGCTCATTTATCTGCCTTGGGCAGAGTTCAAGTTTGCATAGAATGAATTATAAGAGTGGCCTAAGATCCACACATGCAGTCTTATTTGTTGTGTAGATTTCCTCCTATTACATGTTATTTTAGCATTTGAATCATTTGAGGTCAAATAAGGTGAATGTCTGTTTGCTGTTGGTCTAATGCCAGGTGCCAACTGAGACACTACAGTAAGAATCAGTATAGGGCACAGAGAGAAGAAACACTGGCACATTTACACCGATCAGCCATAACATTATGAGCACTGACTGGTCAAGTGAAAAACAATGGTTATCTGGTTATCATGGCTCCTGTCCGTGGGTGGGATATATTAGGCAGAAAGTGAACATTTTGTCCTCAAACTTGATGTGTTAAAAGCAGGAAAAAGGGCAGGGTGAGAATTTAAGCGACTTTGATAAGGGCCACATTGTGATGGCTAGACGACTGGGTCAGAGCATCTCCAAAACAGCAGCTCTTGTGGGGTGTTCCCCCGGTATGCCAGTGGTTCAGTACCCTATCAACAAGTGGTACCAAGGAAAGCAGCGAAATGATGTAAGTGGGGAGCCGACAGGCTGGCTGTGTGGTCCAATTCCACAGACGAGCTGACCCTGTGACCGCTCAAATTGCTAGAACTAGTTCAAGCTGGTTCGCGATAGAAAGTGTAGAACAGCACAGTGCCATCACATTTTGTCTGCGTACTGGGGCTAGCGTAGCCACAGAGCAGTCAACAGTGTCCATCGGCTAACCCCTGTCCCACTGCCAAAAGTGCCTATGATCCAGGCACCGTAGCGCATCAGAAATGGACCATAGAGCAAATAGAAAAGGTACGCCGTGGCCGGATTAATCACCGTTTTCGTTTACATCCATGTGGATGGCGGATGTGTCGTTGCATTGCTAACCTGGGCGAAACATGTGGACACCGAGGATGCACTATGCGGAAGAAGGCAAGCCACGGAGGCAGTGTGATCGCTTTCGGGGCAATGTCTCTGCTCGGGAAACCTTGTCTTCGCCATTCAATGTGGATGCTACTTTCGACATGTACCCCTACCTAAGCAATCTGTTGCAGACCGATGTAGCACTCTTAGCATGGATACGTGATCCCCCTGATGGCAGGTGGCCTCTTTCAGCCAGGATAATCGCGCCGTGCCACAAAGCAAGAATCGGTTTGAAGGCACACCACGATGTTTTAGGTGTTTACTTGGCCTCCCCATATTCTAGATCTCAATCCAATCGAGCAATCTGTAGGATAAGCTGGACAAAACAAGCTCCGACCCATGGAAGCCCCACCTCACCAACATACAGGACCCTTAAAGGGATCTGCGCTGAACGTGTTGGTGCCAGATTACCACAGCCCACCTTCAGAGGTTAGTGCGAGTCCATGCCTCGACAGGTCAGGGCTGTTTTGGGTCAGGGTCAGGGTCAAGTTATCTCTTTTCTGACTCACTTCCACAGCTGCAGTAGTTACATTTCACTGCAAAACAACACCTATGACTAATACAGATCAACTTGGAAGCAGCAGCATGCATAAAGCTCAGACAATTCATACAATCCTAGCCTGGGCCAAAAATGCCCCGATTTGTCACAAAAACTTTAACCCATCTCCCAAGGAAGATAATGTGACATTTTATAGCCATGAGCGCCAGAAAAAAACAAAGAAAGGTCAGTCCACAGCATTATGCCGATAGAAAAGTGATTGACTAGATTGAAACAAACACAAAAATAACTTAAGGCTAGGTCTTTAACCCAGACAGCAGTCAAATCTGTTGTCATGCTTCATTATCTCCCACTTCTGTCTTTTGTCTTTAACATAATATGTAAAACCACTTGTCTATGAATTACACTGGAAGAAACTACTTTCTACTTAATGTCATTCAACACTACATGTTTGTTTGGTGTCAGTAATACTCAGTAATCAACCAAAAAACAATTTACACTCTGAGTAATGCATAATCTGGTACCAATTCATATGGGTTACACCCATTTCCTGTTTCCTCCACACTGACCGTCACTGACAGAAGCTGCATGAAAGCTTACTTTCAATTTGAAACACGTGCTTAACATTTAAATGGCACTTCAGTAAACTATGGATTCAAGTTGTTGACCATTAATCAAATATAATAATAGAGCTATGTAAAATAACAGCATGTCATGCAGAGGTGGATGATGGCAGTGGTACATTTAGTTCAAACTGTCAGCTTTTTGTGCAATTTGTTAGTCATGTCATCTAAGACTTGTCACAAGAAAACTAAAGCAATAAACAGTTTCAAAGCCACTCACCAGTCACTCTTGTCAGTGGTTTTGTTGAGCTTAAGAGCCAGATGGAGGCTCTTCTGAACTAAGATTCCTCCTGAGTGTCTCTTACGTCGGCTGGTAGCAGTCGAGAGTTGCAGCATGGGTTCAGAGCAGCCAACCTGCTGCTCTGCAGACTGAGGAAGTTCAGATCATTGGCCTCTCTCAGCTGTAGACAAGCCCCAACTTGTCATCTGTGTGTGGTTGCTATGATAAGCACTGAGCAGAACTGTACAAGTGACTACACAGGCCACTGAGCACCACCAAGAGGAGGAATGAAGGACTTAGAGTAGAGAGGAAAACTTTTTTAACTCTTCGCTTTGACAAAAAATGTCTCCAACGAATGGGACTCGTTTAGTGCTAACGATGGTCTGGCTGGAACACATTTAAAGGGCCTTTTTTTTTTTTTTTCAAACAGCCATATAGTTTGAATTATATTTCCACATAAATTAAATTTAGTGGATCACCAACACATGGTTTACTAAACTATTATACAGTACTTATGTTCTGAGTGTTGCCATATGATAGCTATAATTAGACAGAGTAGCACATAGATCTCCTTTTGCTACCTGTACTCTGAATACTGATGTTATTAACCACTGTTTTATATTAACTATTTATAGCTCTAGCACTTGGAAAAGAAAAGGAACTATTTCAACTTTAAAAAGTAGGGAGAAAAATGCTACCATTAAAGGAGCAGTTACCACAGTTTAAGCAAATACAGTATATTTTCTGCCACTGTTGAGTTTTAAGCTAAGGGAAGCTTAAGAAAGACTTTCATCCAAGCTCACAAGAAAAGACTTCTCCCACTGTATCTGCTTTCTAGAGTGAATCTCTGTTCCTGAAAGGAACTGTGGTGGAGCAGTAAGAAAGTGCACACGTGAGGAAGTTGATGAATTCTTGAATAAGGCCTCCAGACAAAGCAACAGGCAAAGGCACACTTAATTGATAGTCAGAAGAATATGTTTAATAAAAATAATTAAACCTCAATTTCCTCTATAGAACTTCATAGAAAGTAATCCAATAAATTACAAATGACTTTTAAGACGCATTTTCCTGCACTACATAAAGAATTATTTTGATTACACAGACCACAACTTGCAAATATTACAACTGTCCAAAAAAAAAGACAAAAACTGACCAGGGTGACATTTAGGATATTATCAAGCTTGAAATAAAAATACAAAACCAGTGATGCTAGTTTTGCTATCTCAGTGATAACATGTATGAAAACTGAAAGAAAACCTCCTTGTACAGCAGTAGTGTGTTTTGTCATTCCTCTTGCATATTGGTCATGGTTTACTTGTGTCTGTGTTAAATGCAGATTCAACACTGCTTCCCTAAACACCTTAGCCAGTGGGCTTTTGGATCCCTCTGTACAGTAGCAACCGTAGAGAAAGCAAAAAAAAACATTTGAAGAAATAGCAAAAATGAAAGGCAGAAAGATCAAATGCTTCATGTCTACCATTTTTTTCCCAATTTGTGTCCTATAAGAGGGCTCCAGCACAGTCATCAAATCCATCAAACGCCATCGCTAGTGGGCCAACACAAAAGTAGCCAAAAAAGTTATTAGTCAACTCACAGCCTACAGCCCAAGAAAGTGCAATGGCTGGGTGTTTGCATAAGGGGCCACTACAGTGTTTCAAAGAGAGCAGAGGTGCAGATATACAAAATGACAGTGGCAATGTTTAAAGTTCATTGCTCAGACCATAGAAAAAGATACTGTACTGTTAGTAATAATATAAAAAAATGCAATTGCCATTGCCACCAGCAAAACACATGACAAGCGTCATATATGTATAAGTGTTGCACCTATATCGTATATGTCTTATCAAGTACTACCAATAGCGTCAGTATACGGTTATCATACTCACAGTATACTAACCAACCAGCCGCAATACCAAGAAAACCACTTTAAAGCAACATTAGAAATCAGACATGTCTTCAGCCTCTGGGGCTGTTCATGGTTTCACCCACGAGAGAACGATGCTACAGCAATACTTAAGAACTAAACAGACTGAGTTAATTCAGTGGGTTTTTCCAACACAGGAGGGGGCGCTCTGTCATCCCCGGTCCAAACAGAAACCTCACCTTGGAAATTGTTTTTGAAACACGTATCTAACAGTCCACTGTGTAACAGCAGTCCTAGAGCGAGCACTGTTGTGCCAAGAGAAAATTACTAAAGGTACTTCGGCTTGAGTGAATCCAGTGTTTATGTGTATCCTGGTTACAGCTGAACATGGTGCAGAGACGATGAACAGAAATGCACAAGCATGGACACTGAGCACGGGTCTGAGAAGTCAGTTTGTCGGACAGAGGTTGAACGAGAAAGTGAGGTACAGGATAAGGGCACTTCTACATCTAGCTGAAGCTCCATTTGTCAGCAAAACAGAGTTGAGGACACACAACCAAGCTGCAAACTCCCAGCAACGCAAGCTGCTATTATTTAGCCTTTCCTGAAGCTAGCCCGACTGGCACTGTGTCAAATTTAATACTCAAAGACAATGACCATTACTACAATCTTATCCAGGATTTGAACTATATTGTGCTTGTGCCAAGTGTGTTCTCTAAGACTTTGGTAGACAGGTGATCATGCAACACATAATGCAAAAGGACTGTAATTTCTCATGAGATGTGACTGAAGGTCAAAAGTCGTAGCTTGCAAGGCCCCCGCTCCTTAAGACACAACATTCAGACTGAAAAGATATGGAAGCAGTAGGTACACAAGGTGAGAGGAGCAGTCCAGCCAAACAAGACAACACAGTGGAAGCTCTCGGTTAAAAAGAACACACAGCCTCTGACACACATTCCAGCAGAGACAAGGACATGAATTACATGGACAGCAAGAAAACACACCCATGCACATCTACATCTGCACAGTGAAGCCAATCCATTTAGCACAGTTGAGGTAAGATGCAATCAAATATGCCGGGGTTGTAATAATATCCATGTCATTAGGAATCCTGAATTCTTCCTTTACATAGAGACCACAAAACTCTGTCAGGACCTCAGCGGGTCAAAGGGCAGTTTTTTGGCACACAGTAAAAGGTTGTTTTCTGTCCCCACAGCTCGAGGAGTTTATCTGACTCCTGACACTGCAGTCAAAATCAACAGATGTGCAAGTGAACATGTATGCCTACTGTGAGTAGCTAAAGTGCGCCTTGGACATGTTGTGACATGTTTGTAAGGTGACATGAAAAGGAGGGGTTTCTAAAATTAGATACCCATGTTAAAAAATAAAACCTCCCCCATACCAAAAAAAACCCCCTCCAAAAAGTAATCACAGCAGACAAATTCAATTATGATCCATTTTGAAGAATCGCATTTGTAATATAAATACATCTACAGATTTCCCAATTTGAAGCCATGTTAAACAGGGAGCTCCAGGTAATTCTGTTTCCATATGGGATGTGAATGAATGCAGAAATTAACTCTTCAACGCGATATGAAGGTGAATGACAGGTTTAAGTGAGGCTGTGTGAGTTGTGCACTGGGGTGGAACATGGCAGACAGAGAATCTACAGCTTCAGTGACATTCATTAGCTGCCCAAGTTATTGCTGACATATCCAACGTATGATCTGCAAAGCATAAGTGTCAACGAACCTGTAAAAGTACTGACTATTTACAAGAGAAACCAAAGTGTTTGTCAAGTGTCATTCTCCCAACCCCCAACAATCAAAATATATTAATAGTACAGCTCAACGAGCATGTTGATGTAGTTTCACTTTTTTAATAAAATTAAATCCTGACATAATTACAATAATGCCTTTTTTGTTGCAATTGTACATAATTGTGTGGTACAAGTTCACAGAGTTCAGAAATCTACTAAAGTCTGACATGCAAAATGTCTCAAAACAAGACTGTACCTTGTGAACAAAAACTGAAATTTTATTTCAGTTCCTTTTAAGTCAGTTTTTCCTGTTTTTTTTTGTTTTTTTTTAAGGTTTTTGTAGTCTTTATTACACAACATTTGAGTTAGTTCTTATATTTACATGTAAAGAAATCGCAACATAAGTGCTGGAAAATCCATATATATGTGAATATATGTATACATTTCTAGGCAATACATAAATAAATTTAGAATTATATATTCATAGGATCAGTCCTCATCACTGGAGTCTGAATCATCTGATGAGGAAGAAGAGCTTCCAGACTCTGATGAAGATGACTCTGCTTTCCCCGAACCTTCAGGACCACTGTTTTCTTTTTGTTCTGCTGACTCCTCCTCCTCCTCCTCCTCTTCTTCTTCTTCTTCATCATCCAAAGCCTCTTCATCCTCCTCCCCGTCCTTTTCTGCCACTAGCCGCTCTGTCTCCTGTGCCGATGACTTGGAGAGTGCAGGTGGAGGAGGAGCAAGGGCGGGGTCACTGTTTGAGCTCTGCGGCTGTGAGGCAGACACAGGAAGGTTAAGGCCTGGAGTGAGAAGCATCCCTGGGTAGAGCATACTGGAGAGTAACAAGGGGTTAAGAGACAGTGGGTGACTGGAGGCTGCAGAGGCAGCTGAAGCACTTTGTGGGGCGGTGGCAGAGGAAGTGGAGCTGGAAGTGGAGGAAGGAGTCGTGTTTGAGCCCTCTGTCCTTTCTCCTTTGGTGTCTGAGGTGTGTTGGGGCGCTTTAGAGGCAGACGGCTCTCCTGCTTCACCGCTGGCGGCTCCCTTTGTCTTCTCCTCAGAGCCTCCTGTGTCCTCCTCAGCAGGCTTCCCAAGCAAGCTGCTCATGCCAAGCAGGTTTGGCAACCCAGCCATACCAGACAGCATCATGGGAAACATTGCAGCTAAGTTACTTGCAGCCAGGTTGCTGGCGTCGGACGGCAGCCCCATCAGTCCTGCGGTGAGCTGCAGGGACTGTAAGCTCTGGAGGTTTTGCTGGAAGGCCTGCAGGCTGGTCAGGTCCATTCCAGAGAGGAGGCCGTTGGCCAGCAGGGGGTTCAGCCCCAGTGTGGAGGCTGCTGGGTTGGGTGTTGCTGCTGCCGCCGTCGCCGCTGCAGCCGCCTTGGCCAGAGGGTTCTTAGGTCGACGTCCACGCCGGCTCACCTCCTCAGGTACGATGGGTCCCGTCAGGATCCTGTCAAACATGCTCTCTGGGAGGTAACCCTGGAAGGTATATGCAGGGTGAGACAGATCTTAAGCTGTGACACACATAGCTTAACAACAGTTACAAATACCACAGTACATTCAACATTAACAGTGGGGTAAACACTGCATATTCATGGCTATTTTATTCGGTGCACCTAGCTAAAACTAGTACAGTGTAATACATCAGCCCTGCAACTAATCCTACATTCATGATGGTTATAATGTTTAGTTTGTTTTTGACCGTTTAGTCTTCCTGTACTGATATAAATGAGGTGGACAAAATGACTATAAAGTTGAAACAGCATCTCTCTAGCTAACAGGTTATGACCTTCATAAAAGCATTTGTTGCTGGGCAGTGGTATTAGATTGTATTAGTTATGGCTCGGAGTACCCAATAAACTGGCAACTATCTCTATACACTGTTCAAAATGACCTTTCTTGATGACAGTGCAAGTTTTGATCTGGTTGTGTTACTTTGACTCACCGACTGTTTGACAACATCTGCCCATTCAGGTGGGACTCCGTACTCCGGGTTCTCCTGAAGGAACCGGCACAGATCTTTCAGAGGAGGAGCAAAGGCTCCACCAACCTACAGATTACAGGCAACATGAACCCAAGTGCACAGCAGGCAAGATAAATATTTGACAACTTATCACTTCCTTTACGATTTTGTTTAAAAGGCAGAAGTAGTAGCAGTAGTAGTATCTGATTTTCATGATAGTGGATAGCTTCAAAACTATTTTTAACAGAGCTCCAACAAGTTTTTAAAAGGTGAAATTGGCCATTAGTGGCATCCTTTGTGGAGATGATAATGATACATATAGCTATTTTTGAGGACATACTCAAACTCTCAAACAATATCACACAAAAACACACCTTGCGTGCATTTCTCCTGTTGATGATCTGGACCCTCTCCTCTCCTGTCAAGCTGTTCACGTCAATCTTGTTTGGGTTCCTGCAGCGGTGCCTCTTCTGCTTGGGCCGACCGTCCTGGAAGTGGAACTGCATTTGCATCTTATTTACCCCCTGGACATGAAATGGAAAAATAGTCATGTTTAAAGAAAACTGCAGTGACTTTTCTTTCTTTTTTTAATCCATTGCATCAACAAATCGCTTGTGGGAGAATTCATTTGACAGCAGTGACGTGTTCTGTACCTGCATTTATAACAGGTACTAAATGTACAGCATAATTATTCCATGAATATTGTTATTTCATCTTCTTCCTGTGTCACTTTTAATGCAAATCTAAAGAAAAAGATGAGGATAGGACAAAACAATATTGGACTCACAGGGATAAAGGCTCCTGTGTCTGCCACAAAGCCAGGGTGTTCTTGTAGCCACTGTTCTAAATCTTTCCTCCTGGGAGCGTCGTCCCCAGCAAGCCGGGTGCCATCTTTGAGGTTGATGACAGGGACCCTGCTCTCGGTGTCCGAGGGGACCTGACTGGAGCTCTGGCTGTAGCCCAGCGCAGGGGCCACAGCCATGCCCACCTGGCCAATACCACCCCACCCTGGAGGCACCTGGATGTACATGAGCACAAAATGGTGTTTTATGTTAGCACACTAATGCAAACAATGATCTTATTATTTATACATTCTAATATGTACAAAACAACCATAAACATTAAACCAATTGTGATCATAAAACTATATTATGGCACATGAGGTCCTGCTTTCGCGCAACAAGGAACAAAAGACAACCGCTCACCGGATCAGGCACAGCAGGGACTCTGCTCTTGTTCATGAAGAGCAGGTCCATCCCCTCCACGTTCTTCCTCCTTCCCCTCCGCTTCTTAACCACTGGCTGGCCGTCCATTACTCCGTTTAGCCTCATCTGACCAGTAAGATCTGGAGGAACTGCAGAAAAACCAGCCTGTTAGCTGTGAACTGCAGTGTCATTTTTGCCTAGTTTAAAATAAAATGCTGAAGCTTTGAGATAGACATGCAAATTCTCTTAAATCTTAGGCACATTCATTTTCAGACTTCAGTGAGCTTTTTAGGATTTGTACCTCTAGTTACTGTTATATTTTCTGAAAAGTCTGAAACATTTTCATTTCCATAAATATCTGTAAACAAATCCTGTAGGGCTACAGAAGATGACTAATGTCTCTGCAATCTTTAAGTCATCAAAAACTAAACTTTGCTGCCATCTAGCGGTAGTCGAGGAAAACAGGACAGCGTTATGCATGCACAGTTCTTCAGGTATTTGCTTTATTTTAAATAAACACACCAGTCTGGAAGCCGCACTGAGGCTTGGTGATATCAGCCAGTCCGGTGTCCGAGGCGCTCTGTAGCTCATGAAGCCGGGCCAGGTACTGCTGCTGGGCATGGGGGCCCTCCTCTGACTCCAGGGGCCTCTTCAGAGGTAGACCTTGTTTCTGGAAGGTCAACTTCAAACCTCCCTCCTGCCACACAAACAAAGGTGTTAGATAAGTCTAGGGAGGTGTATAGCCACAGGAAAAACACAGAGTTATAAACAAGGAGAAACTTTTAGGCTTCATTTTTTAAATTCCTTCTCAAACTGTTTATTAAATATGGGAGCTTTCTCTGCCTCACGTCTGTCTATCCAGTGATTCAAGGATCATAATATAAACTTGTGTTATTTTTGTATCTTTAATGCTATATACTGTTAGGTACGCTGAGTTTCTATTTATGTAATAAAGTAACATCTTATTTATACAAGTATCTTACAATAGGATAAAATATTTATCGGTTATTCTCTTGTTAGTAGCACTGGCACACATGGACACACAGTGGGTAGTGGCTAATAGGGCAGTGGGTAAAGTTTATTCACAGTTTGGACTGTAGTGGGAAGCCATGCCAAAGAGATAGCTGCTTTCAGCACATAAAGACTTTAAAGGTAACAAGCAGCAGGTATTTGTGGGTTCTAATTGTAAAAAACATACAATTTGGGAAAAGATCCTCCTCAAGAAGCAACACAAAAGCAAGAAATAAATGGATGCAAGTTTGAAGCCTGCCAAGTTAATCGCCACATTGCTTAGAAGCATATTAGAGAACACCCACAGCTGAGGTCTCCATTTCAATCAGATTATAAGCAAGACCCCTTCAGTGTAGAGAGGCTTCAAACTGAACCTTATTATATTCTCATGACTGAGTGATTTGTGCTCATGTAATCACAGCCTCAGAGCCCAATTCAAATTGAGTGTGTGGGAAAAGAGAGGAAGGCTGCTATTAAATTAATCTCTCCTCCTGCCAGGCAGTCAAAACCACTAATCATACCCAAAGGAAAAGAAGGAAGAGAACCAGAGAAACATGCTGAACACAGCAGCTAACACCATTCATGGCAGCAGAAGTGGTAGGGTCCTACGATTAGGGCGAAGCGGAGGGAGGAGGGGAAGAAGGGAGAAATCAACATACATCGTTGAGTTTTACTGAGAACTCCTTGTTTTCTGCAACATGCTTGGTCACCTTTGACCCCTGTGGCGAGGCAGAGGGGTCCTCACACAGGCTGTTGGCGTTGTCCAGCAGCTTGGTGGTGTAGAAGGAGGCCACTACCCCTCCAGGCTCGTAGACCCGACGTGTTCCAGGCCACTTGCCCTTTAGCACAGCCTGGCAAATGCTGTCCAGGCGGTTGATGATCACACGATCCTAAATAAACAACAGCACCGATGATCAGCACACTCAATATCTATCAGTTAAATTTCGCTTCTCTCTACAACTAAGCTTAAGATTCCATGTTGACTTCCATAATGAAAACTAATCAAGAGACAAATACTTGGTATATTTAGTGATCAAATATTCCCATTTTAGCTGAATAGTCAATTTGAGTACCTACTGGGACAATGCTATTGACCAGACTTATTTAGTGATGTTTAAAATGGCTTCAGACGCTTTGTAAGCCACTGCGGTGTTGTTACGTAACAGTGACTGGATTTGCACACATGTACAGTAGTTCACCTTTGGCCAGTAGGATGCAGCCAGCATGTATCCTCCTCCCTGGAAAGGATGTGAGGAGTTGGCGATGCCGTTCTCAGCCACATGGGTGTCTTGTGTTTCATCCTGTGTAGTGCTCAGAGACGCCACACTGTCCTCATCAAAGCCCTTTACACTTGTTGCTGCAGGCACTGAGAATGTGACAAAAGATAGAAACAGAGATAAAGATGTATCCAAAATATGTGTACACTGAAAAGGGTCAGGTGTGTTTTTATTGTCAATTATTATAATACACTTCCCAGCGCTACAGAAAAACAACAAATTCAGATGTTGCACTTCATTTAAACAATCTAGCTGGTGAGTAAGTCAGTTAAAATTGTGCTTTGAAAATATATTTAAAAAACATTAAATAATGTTAGGATTTCTCACCTTTCTTCTTGCCTTCCTCTCCCTCACTTTCGCTGTCATCAGAAGAAGATGAGGAGGTGGACGACGACGATGAAGAGCCAGAGGAGCAAGACGATGAAGAGGAGGAGGAGCTGGACCCGGAATGTGACGAGGAAGAAGAGGATGATGAAGAAGAGGAAGAGGAGCGCGATGAAGAACTTGAGGAAGAGCCATCCGAGTCAGACTCGGAGCCACGCCTAGGATCCCTGCGGCCCCTCTTGCTGGCCTTCTTGGGTTTCCTCTCAGAGGAGTTGGGTGTGAGAGGTTTGGTTCGTGCTGCCACCATCTGCCTTTCACTTTCCATCATCTCAGAAACAGGCTTCTCCTCCAGACCTGTGGGAGTAGCTGGTGCTCGAGAAGGGCTCCAATTCTCCCCCTGTTTCTCCCTGCCCTCCTCTCCCTCTGAGGCTGGTTCCACTTTAGGTACAACCCCACAGGGCTCTGTGTCTCTCTGGGCGGGTGGAGGCAGTGGAGAGCCTGTCAACACTGAGCTAGTGGCCTGGCACTGAGGGTGTAGAAGCGGGGTGGATGTGCGCGACTGCTGCTGTGCAGCTTTTGTTTGGCTGTAGTTGCGTTGGGCAGCCATGAAGCTGAGCTCAGGGTCTCTCAGGATGTGGTAATCTGTGCGGCTGACGCCGTGCTTGGCAGCACCAATTAGCAGGTCACGGTCATGGGTACCAGCTTCCCACCAGATGGGTAAATCAGAGCTCATCTGGCACAGCGGCAGGCGCTCATAGAGTAACGAATGGCGAAGGACTTGTTCTCTCACCTGGCGAAGTAACTCTACTCTGTACAGGGTACGAGACGCTCTCTCCTCTGTGATGGGCTGAATGTTAAGAGATGGGTCCACTGCAGAGTCTGGAACAAAGACGAAGAAGCAGGTGTAAGAGAGAGCGTGAGAGGAAAGGAAGGCTGCTATACAGGCACAACCCAAAGACCTGTTTGTGCCTGAAGTTTAAACATCACACTGTTTGTCTTTCCACAAATGATTAACCTTATCAGCCCCTCTGCCTCAATACTGCTGAGCCAACTTGTTTATTAAGGTGCTACTGACCTCTCTTCAGAATAAAACCATTCATAGCCAGAAATGAGTGCAGTACATAGAACCATACCTGAAGCAATGTTAATTACATCTTCTTGAGAAAGGTGTATGATATCAGGGCATGATACAGAGTGTAAAACATTGTGATATATCCTAATATGACCCATTTCACAGACCAGCTGAGTGTCCAGACAGCTTCACTTAAGATGTGTACAAATTAAGACAGACAGTTTGTCTGTGTGTGTGTGTGTGTGTGTGTGTGTTCATGTGTGAATAAAAAAAGTAGACTTCTGACCTCCCTCTTTGGGTGGCAGGCGACACACCCTTCGGCACATGGCAGTAAAAGCACAGAGGTATTTCTGCAGGCTCTCGTCGGTCTTCTTGTGTAGCCGAGCCATGGCCCTGAACTTGGTCCAGTCGAACCGCCCGAGGTTTGGGTCAAAAACGACACCAAAAGTGGAGACCACACGGTAGAAGTCAGCCTCTTCTCGCCTTGTCCATCTGAGGAAAGTGAAAAATGTACACTTTAGTAACAATCTTTGTTACAATAATATAAGGTATATTTTATTTCGCAACAAAACATTGATCTGCTCTGACCTTTGTTGGCGTTCAATCTTAGCTGCCATCTTGGGGTTGAGGGTGTCATTGAGTGTGGAGGGCAGCGGGCACAGTGGAGCAGACAGTATCATGGTCTGCTGGGATTGAGACTGAGTCTGGTGGATTTGGAGTATCTGCCGGCTCTTGGTGAAGCGCTGAGAGGCTGTAATCAGACGCCTCAGCCTGGCTGTCAGCACAGAGGGTGAGGGCCAGTAGATAGTTTGACCTCCTGTCACTGGAACAGCATCTGGATCAGAGTAATATACAGCATAAAGAAAATTAAAATTCCAAAAATCCATTCCTCCCCCCCCCCATTATTCTGGTTTTTTAATGCTGTGCATGTGTCTTTTTCATCTTAACTTCCAATTTCACAACCTTTCCAGATTTCTCCCGCCTGTGGGAGGCCTGTATTTAGAAATCATAGTAATGATAATCGGCTGCGGATTACAAGCATCTAATACTGACCTCCAGCGTTGTCAGTGACAACCAAGTCTCCAGGGGAAGAGGCGTCATCCTGCATGAGGAGGCAGTTTGTGTTTATAGCAGGACAAAACATAATATGCTTTATCAGAAGATCAACGTGCACCTTTGGTTCGTGTAGCCTTACCTCCATATCGTCCTTCAGCAGGGCTGGAGCAGGCTTGTACTCAGGATCATCCACATCCCTACACACACACACACACACACACACACACACACACACCAATTTAAACGGTATATCTTAACTTTAGCCAAGCACAGTAAAACAGAATGCCACATAATGGTTTGCAGGCTCAGGACTAGTGTGATGCACCCACCCATCCATAAAATCATTGCCTCTCTGTTCGGCAGCGATGGCCTTCTCATCTGGTCGTCCCACACGCTCTATGAAGCACAGTGTAGGGTCGGCACGAATAGTGTTGTACTTCTCATAACCTTAGAGTTCACAAGAGGGCAAGCAAATATCAAAGTTAGCAAAGGATAATGCATGGAAGATAGAGACCAGGCAATATACACAAGCTGGATGATTTCCCACAATCGCCTGGTCTCAATGGAAAGCACACAAACGTCAAAAGTATCAGTTAAAACAATGTTTTACTCATAAAAAATGATTTGTTTTAGAAGAACTGGGGCTGTTACTTGTAGCTTATTAATGTTTCATGTCAGGTACCAACTATTTCCTCTTCTGTAAAGTGACCAAACGCACTCTACAGTCTCTACTGTACTGAAAGTAAGTAGCTAAGTTTAATTTCAACTCTAGAGCACACTCTTCACATTTGGATTACCTTATTAAATAAAACAAGTCATAGAAACAACTCAGGTTTCTTACCGTGCTTAAAGACACCCAGCAGCAGACACTTGTCAGAGATAGCATCCCACCACAAGGCTGGCAGCTCAGAATGGTCAGGGTCTGGCACCCAGATCTTTATCTCACTATAAAAAGGAGAAAGCAGAGGTATAGACAGATATTATGTGGGGGAATCTTCATTTATTTACTTAATTTACTGACAGCCGACACTCTGACCGCAGTTTGGGTGTAGACACAGTTCCTCTATTGCAATGAGGCGCGAGAGGCAAGTGGATCTATGCAAATGAGCTGTGGCCAGACGCCCCGGATCTCAGAACCCAGAACTCTGCAGGTTCCTTTTCTTTTATTCTAGACATGAAAATATTGTAGACCTGCAGATCAAGTAACATCTTGTTTTTTTTTAATATATTGTACATTATATGATAATTTAACACAGAAGCCTCCTTTTTTTTTAAATCTGTTCCCATTTGCTGTATTAATTTGTTGGAAACACTCTCCCCATGAAGGGCTTTTATTGTGAAATAACAAAATGAGAATTGTTAAACAATAAAAGCCTCCCTTAACTTTCGATAGTGATTTCCTTGTAAACAGTGCTTCTGAACAACAATTTTCAACAGCGCTGTATGATAGAAAACAGGAGGAAAAAATGCCCATCTTTCACCAGCAGGTGGAGCTCCACAACCTTCTAATTAATTTGGCTGATCAGTTCTTCTTTCCCTCAACAGGTTGATACCATATGCTACTGACCACGCTCGCCACTCAAGTAGAAAAATGTATGAGGCAGCTATTTCACCTTGATATGGAAAATGTGCAGTTGCCAATAATGTTGTATTAAAGCTGCTAAATCCATCTGAACCTCTGTGTATCTCATGAATCCAGCTATTCTATTATCTGAGCGGGTCATAAATTGTACTACACTACTGTTAAGAACCAGCTACTGTGTCATGGCAAATGTATTATATTTGTTGAATAAAGTGATTGCGTTTCAAGAAAGTGAAGGAGTAGAAAAAAATCGTACAATTATAAAGCATAGGACAGTGTATGTAAGGTAAGGTAGCGTCTGAGTAGGTCAAAGTTGAGCTCACCTGGATTCCACGCCGTCTAGCACCTTCTGGGCCTGGCTTCCTATGACCTCTTGTTTCAGGTAGTAGAGCATTCTGACCCTGAGCAGCACCCTGCACAGAGAAAACCCACTGGTCACAACAAAGCCCTGACCACGTACAAACGCTGAGTGAGCAGAACCAACACACACATACACACACGCACCAACCTGTTGAATACAATGCAAATGAGGGAAATGTTTGACAATTCAGTTGTACCCCTTAAAGTTCACCACCGTACACCCTAGGAACAGCATACGCTCCAATTCATTTATGTATAATACATGCGCCTAAAGTCTAGGGTTTTTATGTGTGTTCAAATAAAAATCATTAGCTGTACAAGCAAAGCACAGAGTCAGGCAGACATACTGCATGACTCACCATGATAGACCAGTATACAAACTAAGCCTAATCAATTAACTTGGTGAATGTTTGTTACACTGAAGTCAACGTTTCTGTATAGACCTCGCAGAGAGCTGCGAGCAGCTCCACAGCTACAGCTCTGAGGCCTGAACCAACAGCCGACAGTCTCTCTCCAGTCGTCATGTGGTCGTGCTCTGGCAGTAGATGAAGGCTGGGAAGCCAAGGCTGACAAGGTAGAGAGAGGCTGACTCACAGGGGAGACATTAGCTCTGTGATGCATGATCACACATCACAGCCAGCAGGCTTTGAGCGACAGTGAAGTGGTGGGAACTGTGGTGCCAGGCTGTAACGTCTGGTATGCCTTGAGATTTTGCTTTATGTAGAAAGCTGTTCTGTGTAATCATTTTGTCTGAACACAAAATGATTTTAAAATTCCATCATCTAACGTCTGTTGCTGGAAAAATGCGGTATGGAGGGTTTTAAGGATTTCTGGCATGACAGGAAAATTATCTATGGAGGATTGTTATGGATATTATTATACAATTACTATTTACAGAAGTGGAAGAATAGGTCAAATCTCAGAATCTTAAATGAGCAGGGAAAATATAGGAAACATTTTCAGATACAATTACATTATAGCTTTTTAAAAACCAGATAAATGCGAATTAGACAATACATATTTTCCTGTAAATATTTAAGCACAATTGTCTTGCACCTGTTGGCAGACAACTGATGTCTCCACACTGTCAACTTATGTATGAAGGTTTCATACATAAGAATAAGAACCAGGGAACTGCATATACAGAGCCACAGGTTACATGGAGAGGTTCTTTTTCAGACAGTTTTAGAACAGATTATCACCAATACTTTTATGTTAATCCATCACTTCATGTAGACATGTGGCCTCTTCTCCTGCCAAAGCTCCTCTACACTGCTGCTCTGAAAAATAGCATACCAGGCATTCCATCTTTCTTATGCTGTAATTCAGCTAAATATTGTTATAAATGAGCCCAAAATCCTTCCCTGATTCTCTGACAGGAAGAGGAAAAACTGCAGGGCTGTCTGTCTGTCAGAGTGATGGATGTCTGTGGTGACCAGTCTGGACTTGTAACTCTGGTAAATCAAAGCCTCGAACTTCCTCCCTCTCCCTCCTCCACCCTCCGTCCTCCTGTGTGACTGGACCCGCCCAGGAGCAGCTGCTGCTTCCTCTGCCTGTCAGCACAACCCTTCATCACTCTCCTTCCAAGCTTTTGTTAGTTCGTGTGTGTATGTGTGATGTGGTTCACTCAGAGAGGCTGCAGAGGATCTCAGCACAGTCATACACTCTTTCAGAAGCAACTAAGTCAAGTATGCATGACACAAGCAAAGGCATGCAAAGAATTCCTCACGGTCTGCTCACAGAAAACAATCCATCAAAAACCAGTGTAACAGGGAGATAAAGAGTCACAGATGTAATTCTTATTCAAAACACACAAACAACATGAAATTCTGATGTGCTTTCTCAAAACTGTATCCTACATGCCAAAGAAGATTTAGTGATCACCGCTCCATCTACTACATACTACAGTATGCAATGAAAAGGCATAGTGCTTGAGGAACAAGAAATTCACAACACGGTGATCAGATTTCCTGACCTGTTGGTTTTTCAGACTTTTCTAGACTTTTGTAAACTGTCATTTCCCACTACTTCCTATAGATTCCATTTCTGTTTAGGAGCTCTGTCCTACATTTACGGTCCTGTTAAGGAAGCCAGTGAACGCACCCACCCCCCCCCAACAGCAGTCACATTCCAGGTCCTCATAGTGAAAATGCAAGAGTCAGCAAACCCTGCTGACTGCGTGTCCCCATTTGCCCGGCGTGTCACACACCAGACAATCCCTGGATTCAGCACAACTGGACCAGGAAACAATGGAGAACTTTCTATGGAAGCTTCAGCGCTCTGTGTCCAAAGCCCTATGCACACAAGCCCCCCTTTTTAAAAGAAGCAGCCATCTATTTGGCTTTATATCTCAGCGGCCCATGTTTTAATAATGGCCATCTTTTTCCCTCTGCCTGTAAATAAGAGAGATCTATAACGGCCATTAGCTGGGCTGAAGTCTCATTAAGGATCATATCAGTCAGCTGGTCTCGATGTGATACACGTCCGTTAATGAATCAGTTGACTGTCGGCTTCAATAGATGTTTTAATGCCTCCTAATTACCGTGGTTAGCAGGTGGCACAGACAAAATTTCAGCCACAAGAAAACTGTATTTTTATACACTTTAATTCAATGCTTCATTCTATTAAAAATAAACTGATGCAATCTGTGCTAGAGAGAATAATGACCACCTGCCAGTTGCTGTAATAGCACAAAAGGTTTAAACACAAACACTTAATCCACAAAAGATAAAACAACCCAACCATAGACTATTAGTCACCATGTGCACTGAATGCAAGTTAAAATGAAAAATACCAGAAATTAAATCATCTAATATTACTATTTTAGATAGTCAAGAACATTTTCCTTTAAATTATGATTACTACTACTACTACATTCTTATAAACAGCTGACATTAGAAATCGCTGGTTTCTTATAGTGTGCTATTCTTGATACTCGACGTAAACTGAACACTGAAGTTTCATCTACATGGGTGTCAGCTATGTAAGTGGGATAAGGAAACACCTACTTGTTGCAGTGGTGTTTGAGGTGTTTCTTGTAGCCGTCGTCCTGAAGCATGTGCTCAGGGTTGTGTTTCCTGAGCCACTCAGCTTTGTGGATGTCAAAAGAGCTGGACTGGGTCTTCATCTTCTTACCTTTTCGGCCCCGAGGGACTGGGGCGGACAAACCTGGTGGAACAAGAGGAGATTGAGAGTTATAGGTGCAGTAAAGGAAAATGCTCATTTTCTAAATCTCACTTCTAACCTCTCGACGGGCCTCTATCTGTAGTAATAAGGCCAGTTAAATGTAGGCTGGAAGTCCTGAGACTCACCCAGGTGATTCTGCAGCTCCTTGGTGCGTCCGTCCTCACTAGGGGCGATCAGGTCCCACATGAAGCTTTTGATTTTGTCATCTCCACGGTAATGGACCAGGCAGTAAGATAGCAGGGCTCTGCAGATGGATTCCACATCCCACTCCGTCAGCTGCTTCTTAAAACGCCCATGGTTGAGAATATCCTTCCAACGGCCCCACCTGGACAACAAAAGGGACAAATTTAAGTAAAGAAAGATCAGACAATTACAGTGATGACAGCCTTTGTCCATTTGGAATTAGTTACTGTATATAACTAACTGTGATAGATTAAGATAGATAAGTTTCTGTTCAAAAACACGAGTTTAGTCCTATCTATGGAAAAGATCCTATTTATGGACAGTTGCTATGGTTTAACGGATTAACTATTTGAATTATCTCACCCATAAACAAGCAGGTTCTTTTCTACTCTAAAGCATTCTGTGCGTCCGTAGCTGTTGAGGCGGTCGTGGTTTCGCCTGAGCTTAGGTTTGGTCTCATCATTCTCGCTTTCGCCCTCCGAAAGCTCTGCCAACTCATCCTTGGTGGCACTAAATGGCCTTGTTTGCTTTCTGACACGAGGAGTGTCGATCACCAAGCTGTTCTGTAGAGAAGGAATGGATGGAAACAAAATTTCAGCAAAGGTTGAAAACATAAAGGATAAATAAGGAGTAAGGAGGGTGGCAACCGTACTGGATGTCTAGGCATTATATATTTGTGAGATCCAACACATTTTTGTGAGCGTGTGTGTGTATATTGTATCATACGTGGAGCAGTACATACTCTTCCGTTGACCATATCCATATCAATGTCAGCCTTTTTGGCCCATTTGTCCCAGAAGTTGGGGTCATCCAGAGAGATGTCTGTGCGGTTTCCGGATGCCACAAAACTAGCCTGAAAGAAGACATCGTAATCGGATTAAACCATAATCATATTTGCCATTCATCATGAGCTGCTCTTGGCCCAAAGTCAAAAACAGCCAGTGACCGAAAAATGTAGCAGTGATAGTTTCCATTTACATCACTTGTGTGAGAGAAGTTGTATTTATCCATTTCATTTACCTTAGCAAAGGTGGATCCTCGTCCCTCAGATTCAATGGTGATGGTCTTTGTCCTGCGCTGGAGGATCTGGTCGATGTCCTCCTCACAGAATTTGGCCCCTTCATCTTCCTCATCCATGATGGCCCCATATGCACCGCGTCGCAACAAATCCTCAATCTCCTTCTTAGACAGCTGCTGCTGCACAGCCTGGGAGGAGAAAGGGACACAGATGTTAAGGATCAAGAAACAATATACAACAAGAATAAATTTTAGAATAGATTATGAAATGGACTTGAGGTACAAATATTACATAATGCACAACACAAACATAACCTTAAAAGTTTCTAAAAGAAAAGAAAAGAAAAGAAAAGAAAAGAAAACACACACATACACACAAGTTGGATTAATAAAATCACAACATCAGCACCCCTGTATCTAACCCCAGCAGCTGTTTATCATGCAAATATGTTGTCAGACCAGATGTGGAAACCTGCTAATACCTCAACCTCCTTATACTTCATATAATTCTCAGAGGACACCAACCGCAGATATCATCCACCTACACACTTCACATGCTGTTGACACACTCCTTCACAAAGAGATTAGACTCTAATAGGATCGGTTACACTTCAAGTGGAAATTGTAAGAGTGAGCTCCAAGTTTTCGGGTTTGTGAACAGTTCTTTTTCTTTGCTTGGCATCTTCTTGTTGTTTGCCATCTGTTACAGTTTTCCTCTGATGCCATTGAGGACTGGTTATTATTGGAAACTTTTATCATTGTTGGAAAGACAATTGGACAAAATCTTTTGTATTTTATTTTTAAAACTTCACTCACATGATGACAGGGAAGAACATTTTAGTTATTAAGTGTAAGAAACAGGTTCATTTGCTTGTCTGATTCTCAGTAATTGTGTCATGACTGTTAACTGAGTACGTTCCTTAAACTAGAGTCAACTTTCACGTCTAGCTGGATTATAAGATTTTAGTGTACTTAATGTGGTGGTGCGTGTATAATTACTAAACAAACATAAATATGTTTAATGTGAAATGTGTACACACTAATAATACTTGTGCCACACCAGGTTTTTGATGTGTCCTGCTCATTTGTATCCCGATCTGATGATGAGATAGTTGAACTGAATGATTTTATGTCGAGCCAAGGTTAGCTTGTGAAATGGATGGTATTCATCACAAGCACTGTCTGAAAACAAACACCCCTTTTTGAAAATTAACTGAACATAATTTACATGACAACATTATTTAATTCCCAATTTCTATTCCAGACCATTTGGACAATTCTCAAACTCACCCCTCCCCCGGCGCCTCCTCCCAGGCTGTTATCTCGACCACTCATGCTCTGCAACACTGCTTTGTCCAGGCCCAGCTTGAGGCTGGCGCGATCAAACATTTCTCGCTCATACGAGTTCCTGGTGATCAGACGATACACCTTCACTGCCTTGTTCTGACCGATCCGATGGCAGCGAGCCTGGGCCTGTGAAGGGCAGAGAAAAAAAGGGACTAAGTGCACTACATGTAGAAATAGGAGTCTTTGTGTTCATATCTTTATTTGAGGATAACTAATCATTGAGTGAAATTTGCACATGTTCTTGATTGGAAACAGTATAAAGCACTTAAAGCAGGTGTTAACATGAGCAGCTGTCACACAAGAGATAGCTATGAGAGTGTCAAAACTATTTAATGCCTAAACATTAATGGTACAAATCTACAGTATTATGTTGCATCTGTTCTGTCAGTCTGTGTATTCGTACCTGCAGGTCGTTCTGTGGGTTCCAGTCAGAGTCAAAGATGATGCAGGTGTCTGCTGCTGTGAGGTTGATTCCCAGGCCACCAGCTCTCGTACACAGAAGGAAAACGAAGCGTTCTGACTCGGGCTTACTGAATCGGTCGATAGCTGCCTGCCGCAGGTTCCCACGAACACGTCCATCTATCCTCTCATACAAGTACCTGCAACACAAAAAAAATTAAGCATGATGAATGTATATCACAATAACTAATTGAATACATGGACTTCTGTAAGATGTTTACCCTGAGCTTTAGGTAAAAGTTTAATTTAAACACTAAACATCAATCTTTTGGTCATGTTTGTGTTTAAGGAGATTTAGTGAATTAAGCTTTTAATAAGTTATTTTAACCTGTCATAACTCACCTACAATACTCATAAACTGGTCATTTAAACTCAGCCAAAACGCTACTTTTATTTTGCTTCCCTTGTACATCAGGGAACAGTATCCTCAAAGATAAAACTGTTTCTACAAGGAGTGGTTATGCTCTTTAATCCTCGTGTCCATTCTCATCCCCTCCCACAATCCGACCCCCTGCCCTCCCCAGGGTAATCCACTTCCAGTCAGTAGAAGAGCACAGAAACTCTCGCTTGTCTAATGTGGTGGAGCCCTGAGGGCTTCCTATAACCTGCTGCTGAACCCTGTCTGAGGTCTGTGCTGCACAGCATCTCACATGTTTACAATAGTTCAGGGTTTGCTGCAGCTTTGCCTGTGAAGGCCAGGAAGAGAGACAGAGAAGGAGAGGAGACCAGAGAGAGAAAGAGACAGAGACAGAGATCAGGAGAGACGGACCGGAGAGGAGCGAGGAGGACGGACGAGAGAGACGAGAGCGGCGGAGAGAGGCGGCCGGGCCGGCGAGGAGCAGGATGGAGAGAGAGGCAGGCAGGCAGAAACAGAGACATGAGAGCAACAATAGGATGTAGACCTAGGAGAAAAAGACCTAAAAGGATTGAGAGCTTGGAGACTTGAGAATAAAAATAAAGGCAAAGATGAGAACCAGAAACCCAAACTCTTATCTGTAATTATTAAATTCTTAAATGCCATTAAATTATAAACCTAATGGCTATTCAAAAAAATTTCCCCATGAGCATCCTGGTAATGTTCCTAACCACTTACTCAATTCCAGCTTTTTATGGTACTCAAGACACTGCTGACAGATAGAACAAGACACGCACAGAGGGAAGCAAGTTGAGAGCTTACATTTTGATTCTCAACGCAATATTGTACTTTGGCAGAGCCTTAGATTGTCTACAGTAAATTCATTGACATAATACAATCATCTTTATCAGCTGCTCCTGTGCTCTATTCATTCACTCATTATGGGTCTAAAAATAAACAACAGGAAAAAATGAACAAATAAATAAATACTTAAAATCCTGTGACTTCATTTTTGGAGAGTGAAATTGCTCTATTTATTACCCCCGAACTTTAAAACAGAAACCACATGGCTTAGTTGAGATTTTATAGACTTAGAAGGCTGACGGAAAGATTAAAATAGCATGTTTATCTTTTGTAAAAAGATCTGACAGGATTTTCATTTTGGCAAAATGGCGTGATTTTGTGAGATCTGTTTGGCCATACAATTGTAGCGAAAGAAGAGAAAAGATTATACTACTTCCAATGTACTCAAAGGAGTAACTGCTGAAGACAATTTCCTCCAACAATCCAAAGATATGCAGGTATGTCTGCGAGTATTAATGTGTCTCCCTACCTAATGCTATTGGTGCCTGGTAATGCTGCTGCCAACTACCCTCACTGACAACTGGCTGCCATGTACTGGATACACCACTGCAGAAATAGAGACATACTCCCCTGAACCATCATTTTTTTTTCCTTTCTCTTACAACATGGGAAGCAGCTACTGAGTGTTCCCAGTATACTGTACAACTAAAGCCTGCATGCCATGTGCACAAGATTTGTTACTTCCTTCAACCACATAAAATCTAATAAAGCCAGAGAATAAGAGTGACTTTACATTTTTGAGCAGCGGCCCTAAGTTAAGAATGAAAAAAGAAAAAACCTTTATAGCAAGTATTACACAAATTAGTTTTTCCTTTCTACAAGAACTATGACAGAGGACATAGCAGAAATTCCACCCATTTAGTAGACAGTGTAACTACACATTACCCTGGATTTAATATGTATGGTGTTTAATGTGATGTATGCTGATGCTGACTTCATACAAAAGACTTTTCTTTACTGCAATGCTTGACATTTTTTGAGATACATGACATCTTCAAGAGAGTATGATCATAAAAACTCCCTTTTCAGACTAGGAATTCTTAAGTCTGGGCTATAAATGTGACATATAATCTGCCACCCTTACCTTCTCTGAATGAGGTAGTCTTCCAAGATGTCCAGGCAGCGCACCATTTGGGAGAAGATGAGCACCTTGTGCCCTCCGGCCTTCATCTTAGGCAGCAGCTTGTCAATAAGGACCAGCTTCCCGGCAGACTGTACCATAGCCTGTAGGTGAAAGTCGATGGCAGTGGGGCTATACACCTCCCTGAAGTCCTCTAGGATCTTCTCTTCTGCCCCTGACATATCAAAGACATGGACACATCAGCAACACTGTGTCTTGTATGCTCATGTTTACTTTCCACAAGATTGTTTTTACTTAATGTCCATTCATGAAGATCAGGGCTTTCTCCTTTTTTGACAATACAAGTGCATGAGGAAATTTCCCCCAAAAATTGGACCCTGAAGATTTGCAACTACTGTGACACTGGGGTTTAACTGAAAAAGGAACATAAACAAAACACTAGACAGATTAAGTGCATATGCATTATCTACTAAATCTGTTGAGATTCCCATGGCTTCCTTAAGCCAACACTACCAGTATGCAGAGCTTCTTGTAACAATCACTTGAGGTATCAAATTATAGTGAGTGCCTAAGTCTTTGAAAATGAGCACACAACACCTCCTGAAGGCTAAACAGGAAATTGTGGAATTGCAGACCTTCTGATGCTTTGCCAGCCAAGATCACAACAATAGATTTTAACTATATTTAAGTAAATTAACCTATATTTAAGCTTAAACATATACTATCCTACCTTTGATGAGGTAGGGGTGGTTGCAGCACTTTCTCAGCTCCATCATGGTGTTGACCAGGTTGGGCATATTTGCCTGGCCAGCTCCTTTAGCCAAGAAAGAGAAGTTCTTCTCTAGGATGGCACGGTAGTATTTCTTTTGAATGTTGGTGAGCTCAACCTCGATGATGGTTTCCTCTTTTGGAGCCAACTTCTTCTCCACGTCCTCCTTCAACCGACGCAGCATCATTGGTTTCAGTATACCCTGAAGCTTCTGTACCTGTGATGCCCAAACATGAAAAGAGAGTCATCACATCACGGTAACAGCTGTAGAATATTGTATACTGCAAAAGTACCCATGGTGTGTTTGTTTTTTAGTGATTAAAACGGAAAGAGCAGTGTCATACAGTGAGTGCTCCAGTGAGTTTTCCATTCCCAAGTTGAAAATTGTTTTGTTTTCAGTCAGTACATACATTTCAGTCATGTGGAAATGCGTGTTTCATGACTGTAATGGATGACGCAGATTCAAAGAACTATTAATAATATGTAAATAATGACTTTGCAAATGATAGCTAGCGTCAAGCTTTTTTTTGCATTTGATGCAAAACCACAAATCATGCGTTTGTGTCAACAGCATCACAGTTTAGTCACTACTTAATCTCCTGGAGTGGGCCAGCTTTCCCCAACCAGTGTTCAGGCCTTCATCTAACATCAGTTGCTATGTGTTGAAAAAGTACCTCTTAACAGCACTAGCAACTTTTACTCTGGAAAGGATTTCACATTCCTACTGGCACAAGTAGCTTCTAGATTTAGTACCACGTGTTGAGTTCTAGCTGTTCCAAATATTTTAACCTTAAGCATGAGTACCCCACTTCAAACATGTTTCAATGTTCTTTCATTGAGCATGGGTTTAGTGGTTATATTTTAAAATGAAATGCCAAACAGCAATATCTAGAAGCAAAAGGTAAAAGGCCTTATTCTTGTGAGCCATTTTGTCAGTGCATAGTCCAACAATGAGTAGCATAATACCCCATTATCTGTTATCATTAACCACCATATGCTGTGTGTGTGTGTGTGTGTGTGTGTGTGTGTTGTACAAAATGTCACTGTGGCCTAGTTAGAAAAAGCCCCACTACAAGGGTTCCATCTGTACCAATTGGATCTTATATGTGAGCGATATAACAACGATGTTATGGAGCTGTCAGAAACAATAATTTGACTGCCCTTTAATTTAATTCAACACTAAACATGAGGTTTCCTTTTAACAATAAACTCAAACCACGCTGTCTGACATATGGACTTCTGACTTTATACTGTATGTTCACTCCGACATGTGTTATGTATTTTCAGCTCACTTACAAAACATAAAAAAGGCAGGACATATTCTTTATATGTATCTGCAGGCTCACCTGCTCCTCAGTCTTGAGGTCTCCAAACTCCTGCATAAAAGTGTTTTCTGAGGGGAAGCGTGCCGGCTCTAGGAAGTGGAGAAGGCTGAAGAGCTCCTCCACTGTGTTCTGGAGAGGAGTACCTGTCAGCAGGACCTTGTGCTCCTAAAGGAGAACGAGAGGAATGAAAAGAGTCTCATTTGTCAAAAGCACTCCTGCATCAAATGGTTTAAAATGAATGCTTTGTGCTGTGTAAGATTTTATTTCATGGCACACAGACATACGGACGAAATGCTGTAGAGAATGACAGGAACTAGACACAATGTTGTGTGCTTTGCATTTAAGTCAAAATAGATTGAATTATTTCTTAAACCAGAAGTGCAGCTTTAGCAACGTACACATTTGAAATGAGTTTTTATTTTTGCATCTCTCTCTCTCTCTCTCTCTCTCTCTCTCTCTAACTTGGTTCTACATGTACCAGGTTCATGAGCTTGAAGCCTTCTAGCAGCTTGCAGTTCTTGTTCTTGAGACGGTGGGCCTCATCGATGATAACACAGCGCCACTCTATGGCGTTGAGTTCGGGACAGCCTCCCAGGATCATCTCAAATGTGGTGATAACAGCCTGGAACCTGTAGGCACCTCGAATCGCACGGCCCTTAAGACAAAAAATGGGACAAACGTTATCATATTGGTTTATAAAGCATTTATAAAACAAATACTCACATTTCATGACATTTGTGTTTTTATGCAAAGGAGACGGTCAGTTCCAGTATGGGTGTGTAAAAACACATTTCATTTGCTTAGTTGTTTGCTTAGATCTTGTTGTATGTACCTGAGTGATGCAGAAAGTCATTACAAAATAGTTGTTTTCTGAAAGAATATAACAAGTATGAAGGACTACAGAGAACACAATCATACTAGGGACATAGTTCTCAAGTGCACACTTAGAGATGCTCTTCTTACCTGTTAACATTACTAAAACCTACTACATTTTCAGCATGGTGCTGCTAAAATCAAACACATGGCTTACTTTGTTGTTGTTGCGTGAGTTCACTCACAATCTAAAAACACACCTCTTGGTTGGGAAGCTGTCTATAGTATAACCAGGACTTGAGTGCACACCCGCTGGTGAGTCTTTATGCTGTTTGTTTATTTGTTTGTTTGTCTGTCTGGGGAGGTTTTGCTTCAGCCCGCCTCTCCATTTGTATCTATTGCCTTGACAACAGTCCTCGAGGGATACTCAGTTATCCAGTAACCCCCTCCCACAGCCAGCCCAGCCAGCAGACTGCTGTAGAGGAGCCTCTCTCTCTGATATGCCTGAGCAGCGCTGACAGAGAGCTCCCCTTGGGGGCTGCTATGACATCACAGGCAGCCTGGGAGACAGCCTGGTGGCGGCTCCGCTCTGTTCTCACTCGCTTTAATTCCTCCTACTGTTTGTCTGAATACTAAGAGCTTCTAACTGCCTGTTGTGACACATCACATGGCCTGCCAACCACAGAAAGCCTCTGCCCAAGGCTCACTAACTACCTAGCAGCCCACTTACTGTTGGGCACGTGCCCTTCTTTGAATCTCGTTATATGCTATGTTAGTACTATGGACCACTTATTCATGAAAATGCTCTTATGCCCAACATGGTAGGCGATCATAGACTTCAGAAACAATTCTCAATATCAAAATATGATTTTTCTATGTAACAAGACCTAGATCTATAGCACTTTTTTGAAGTGTATAGATGTTGAAGAGATTCTGATGATTAACTTGATAACTTAATTTGAAATGACTGAATGACAACAAAGTCACAAAGAATAATATATTTTCTGCCATTTCTTACACACACAGCATTAATGGAGACCTTTTCTGTGGGAGCTAGCCTGAGATACTCTCTATCCTTTTTTTATTTTTACAGGTGATTTTTGCTTCTTAAACATTGTGGTAAGTGAGTTTGCTGCATTACTTCCAGTGTATTCAAGTTTTGTGTTACACACAGTAATCACATTCTGCCTGGCTTTTCAATATCCGACTCCTATTGTTGTATGCAGGCCTCCTGTTTTCAAACATATCATTAGATTACTCACAGGACTTCATCTTGCTGCTGTTTGCTAAAAAGCACTGTGATTATTTTAATCGAAGTGAATCACTGCTTTCCAGTCTGAAGGTAAGCACAGCTATGTTGCTTTTGCTTGCCTGTCTTTAAAAGGGGAAGATTAGGTATGTGAGGATGAACTAAAAGGCCTCTCAATCTCTAATTTCCACAAGGATTTTCTCAGGTCAAAACAACTACAATGGTGACACACAGACAACGCGGAGGAAGGAAATCAGTTATTTCTCAACACATACAACTGCAACAGCTGCACTGCTATAACTGAATAAGTAAACCTATAATGTATAGGAGATGTCGGCATCTGACAAGAAATATAAAATGTATAATGAATAGTGCATTCTCTAGGGGCCACTTGCTGGGTTTTAGACTGTCAAGTGTATGTACATTTGCATACTTTCTTGAAATCCATATAATAAGCTCTTAAAGGTCCTTTATGTAACATTTAAGAGAACCTGTTGGCAGAAATGGCGTATAATATTCATAGGCATGTTCTCATTAACATATAACCACAAATAAGACTCATTGTGTTTTTGTTCCCCTAGAATGAGTCTTCCAGAGGAAACGGGAGTTTATCTTACGTGGTTGGAAGGCTGATCTCTATTCAAATGGTTGCAATCTGCAACTAGGTATCCGCTAGATGCCACTAAATCCTACACACTAGTGTTTTAATTAATAAAACAAAGGATTCAAAGATTCCTTTTGGTGTCCGATATATATACTAATATATTGACACTGATATATATTATCCTTTGTAATATGTTGGAGGTTGTGTAACCTCAGGTCAAGTATTTATGCTACGAATGTATAATCATCTTTAATTAATACTCATGCAATAAGCGGTGCTCTGTGAGCTAAAACCCTGATTACAAAAAGAAAAGCTAGAAAGAAAGGCATTTACCTGTGCATCCCTGAAATACATCTCATACTGTTGGAGCATCTGCCTGCTGACCATGCTTCCATGGTAGACGATGACATTGAGATGGGTCCAAGTACGAAACTCACGCTCCCAGTTGGCAATGGTGGAGAGAGGGGCAATGATGAGGAATGGCCCTTTAATGCCCACACGATAGATCTCTTCTAGGAATGTGATGGACTGTATGGTCTTTCCCAGGCCCATCTCGTCTGCCAGGATGCAGTTTCGTCTGACAGGTGAAGATAACAAGGGTTAGAAGAGAGAAAATGGTGGAATAATTGAGGTAGAGTGAAAAAACAGCAGAAGAAAGTGAAGGCAAGAGCGTAACAAAAGACAACCAATGTGAAAATGTAAAAAATGTAAAAAATGTAAAGATTATATCCCTGGTGTGTACAGCATACAGTATGTGTTGAGATGTGGTTGGACAATGTAACTGCATGAGGTATTGTGTCTCCATATCACCTGACAAAGTGGTGTATAACCACTGTGAGCATTTCTGTTGCATGTAACAATTCTTGCACTGGGTCAAAGTACACAAAAAAATGTGTGGTGGGTTAAAAAATGAAGGTGAGGATGGGAAACAAGGAAAATCCCATGATACTAAAAGAATAAACCGTGAACAATGGAGGAGAAAACGACATCATCAGCAGTAATAACAGACCAAATAGATGAGATACAACATAATGGCAAGTGCAACTGCCTCTGCTGCGTGGTGTACTCCGGCAAACCATTTATTCAGCTGTCCAGTGGGTGGGGGTATTATGTCTTGATGCTAATTGCAACGTGCAGATATTCCCACTGGCCTCTTAAGCAGCTCTCTAGTTTTTGATGAATCTCTCTGCGTAGGCACACACAAAATCCTGCATGCTCACACATAAAGCCAATTCCCAGGGTTAATGCAAGCACACTGACACTATGTACTCCGGATGTGTGCAGTGCTTCTTTTGTGATCGTGGGCGAAGAGAAGCAATTGTTGTTGCAGCAGTGTGCACCTTGACAGGAAATTTGACTCTCCTTGCAGGCCCAACCAAACAACGTGCATACAGCCAAATCCTAGTGTGGTCCACACTCCCGACAGGAAAAGTGATTCATTATTCATTATCTGCAGTACCAATGCACCCGGAGGATTCCTCTTGAAATTCAAAATGCCTACGTAAAAATCACTGAATCAATAAATATACTGTAGTATTCTATTGGCATGGGATTACTGAAGCGTTACAAGCAAATACAGTATGTAAAAGAGATACAATATTGCTTGATGTGTAAGATATATGCTTAATCTATCTGTCTCTCCATTTCAGATGTGTGCTGAAGCTATTGAGGAAAGGCTGTCCATACAGTGGCAGCATGTCCTTGTCCCAAGACATTTGCTTGAAAGGCATAATAATCTATGACATTGTGATTCAAATATCTATTCTATTATTTACCCTTATTGTTTTATATTGTTATTGCACCGATTCTGTCTGAATTGGATAGCAATTTAGTAGGTTCCATATAAGCTAAATCATTGTTCAATTATGGAAGGTTACATTTACAGGATACTGGTATCAACTTTGTCCACGTAATCCAGATTTATGATGCTCTATACTGTATATTGCGTAATGTGTGGGTTAAAATTTTTTACTTGCAAAAGTAAAAACGTTTTTAAACTTCATTACAGCCACAAAAAACCCTGGTCAAGATCAGGGTTGCGGATATTGCTCACATAACCCACAATGATCAATTCACACCAGTGGTATGTGAATGGCCTGTAGGTGTGTGCATGTATGTATTTAAAACTGACCTGTTGTACCAGTTGAAGAGGAGCCAGTTGACCCCCTCTAGCTGGTAGTCCCTGAGGCTGTTGCCATTCCTGTATTCCCTCGACTGATCCCTCTTCTTCCACAGATTGGCCGGGGGTCGATCCTAAGAGACAAATTTTTAATGGAGAGTAAGAAGAAACATTTTTTAAATTAACTTCATATTTTAGATGAAAACATTTCTAAGGACAAAACATTTTATACATAATGATGGTAATGGTAGACAAGCAAGGCAGCAAGTGATAATGGTTTTAAAAGTAAGGCACAGAAAACAGCGGTGTGGTGGTGTATTCTGAAAATGTATCTCACACTTTGGAACCACCCCCCCCCGGTCAAACAGTAGGTACTAGTAGGCAAGAAGCATTCATACATTTGTATCAATACTAGGAAACAGGTTGCATACAACAGATATGCAATGACAACCTGAATTTTATCACCTGGATTTTATCACCAGTATACACCGTCGGACACACCCAACCACTTACTTCCTTTTTCGCCGCCACAATCATTCACTCAGTTTCGAGAGCTAATATAGTTTTTTGTTCAAATCAACATGCTCAATATGTCGTGAATAAAAAAACAAAAAAACAAATTCAAATCAATTAATTTAGCTTTTTTCTCTATTTGCAAACTGAATTGTCTATAAACATAAAATTTGGATTTCTTTTACTTTTCAAAAAGAACTAGGACTACAAAAGAAAACCCATAGTGTAATTTTGAGTTGGATTTTCTGTGATTTTTGGGACTGTGGGATTTTGGTGTTGTTTTGTTGAAAAAATATTGACACAGATTCATTGTGTTGATGATGATGCCTATTCCGTTCATGTCACAACAATCTCACCAACAATCCCACCACAACACATCTGCATCAAGAAACAAAACAAACAAATAATTAAAAAAAGGGTGAACTCCCTTGTTAGCACTTTAAAGTACCAGCAACAAATGAAAACAAATATATATGAACAGTATGAGAATTATAGGAGATAGGAAAACGGAAATGCAGTGATAAGTCAGTAAGGTCGGTGTGCACGGCTTACCACCCTGCGCGAGTCTGGCTTGACTGCCTGCAGCTGCTCAAACTCTTCAATCTTGCTCTGATCTACGTCGTCCTTTAGCTCCCAGGTGCTGTCTTCATAAGGCAAAGAGCACCACTTCACCAGGTAGTACACCACCTCCTGTAGCAGGCAGAGAATAATTAGCACTGCAAAAGACGAGAGCAAGGCCAAACTCTGCTTTCATAATATTAACAAAGGCTGCGAGTGAGCCTATTAGGATGGCCTTGGGCACTCCGGAGATACAAAGACATCACTACAGTGCAGAATATACTGAAAGGAACAAAAACCACAAAAAACTGAAAAAGAGTAAAACATGTTCAGGCATGTAAATACAGACAAACACACACACACACACACACACACACACATCTCACGGATATGATTAACAAATGAAAGAGGATTCACTTTACCTCTCCGGTGTCTTTGTCCTCACAATATGACACCTCCAGTACTCTGTCTACCTCTACATAGTCAGGGTTAAAGGGCTCCTCTTCCATCTGAGAGAGACAGGAACAACGACAAGAGGGAAACAAAGAGAGAGAGGAGGAGAGAATAAACTGAAGTGCCCACTCACCATCTGGAACCTGAGATAAGCATCACTATTGTATCGACTAAATGAATAAAGAAATTCAAATATATGCACACAGATGTGCCTGCCCACACAAACAAAGCACAAAAAGTAAATTAAACATCAACACACAATATCTATATGCATGTATACTTAACACACAAATGTTTTATAAGAAACATCAATTGTGAAAACGCAAACCTGCTCATACCAAATGCCTAAATAAGTGTGTAAAGACAGTATACAGTGTGTCCACAGACACAAAAACACAAGCATACAGCCTTACATCTGCAAAGAAGAGTGCCCTCTGTGCTTGTTTCATCTTGAAACGTTTGATCTTCTGCTGAATCCTCTTGTCCTTCTCCAGCTGCTGCTCTGTGGCCCACTCACAGTGTAGGTAGGAACTGACACCCGCACGCGCACACACACACACACACACACACACACACACACAAATAAACAAACACAAACACACATTCAGACTAAGGTGAGAAACCCTGAAAACACCTTCTATATACACAGCATCTGGGGAAACCACTGAAGCCACCAGGTGTGATCACAGCGTGCAGGTGTGGTCACAGAGTCTTTTACTGACATGCTTTTAACAAAGTCACTGATCTCCTCAGTCATACTTGGTTCATAACATTTCAAGTGCAACATCCATTTTTCCATCCTGTTCGTTGTTAGGTAGAAAACATAATGAATGCGATCTGGCTGATGACGGATCATCTGTCAAGTGAAAATAAATTGTTTCTCTGGTAGAAGACCTATGGTTCACTAGAATTTTTAATAATGCACAGAGTTCATAGAAGAGTAATTACATCATTGTTGCAAAATTGGATGGTAACATACATGGCAATACTGAAAGCTGTCTCAAGGCCACTGGAGATATTTGTAAGTTTGTGTAATCACAAAGTTCTTTTTCAGAAGCTTTTCCGAAAAGCCTCCAGGACATTTGTTTTCTATTTTTATCTAATAAAATATTTTTTTTGTTATAATTTAGGAGTAACAGTAATGTCTGGAATGGTATCTGTAAACAGACTGGGATGATTACAGGCATAATACACGCACTAATACAATACCAGTAACTTAAACTAACCATAAATATGCTACAAATAAACAATGAACTTACTAATTTTTGTATTTCACAAAAAACTCCTCTCCTTCGATCACCACTCCTGGAGAGACCTGTGGACAAAACAATGTATAATTATAGACAAACTTCAAACTGATTTCTTCTTTCACTTAAAAATAAGAAATAAGAAATAAGGTGGTGCAACATTATTTGTGGTGATAAATAATTCATATCTCACTATTGTGATACTGCTGTATCTTTCACCATCACTAAAAAGCAAGGAAAAAGAAGCAATTCATTACCTCCTTCTTGACGATACGAGAGGACATGATTTTGTCAACTACAGCAGCATCCTCTTCACTGGGATTCTCCTACGGATGCAGTGGACATGAAACATTTAATGTCAAGTGTTACTTCAAAGTCTCCCACAGCAAAAATTTCCATAAGCCTCGGGACGCTTCATAAAATAAAAACCACACAATACAGTGTGTAATAAAAAAAGCAAACCTGCACAGTCTGCACACAACTGTTGTCTTTCTGAGGTTTCTATTTTTTCCCTTGTTAAAAAGGGTATTTTGTAGAGTTTTCCATGATCCGAATAGAGGACCTATGGTTAGAGGCTGTTGTATGCTGTTCAGATTGACAAACATTTGTATTTATTTATTACATAAATGAAACTGACTTGAGGATATATAGTTTACTCCAGCACTGCCTCCACCTGTGTACAACAACTGAAAAAATATGAAGGGGGGAAATTTTGAACAATATATTTGTAGAAACAGGTTTCGGAGCAGAGCTGTCGTCATTTTTCTCCCCTCCTAATTTCTCTGTTGTCGCATCTAAATTATTAAAAATGGGCACTGAATATGTATCTTCCCTCTTTGTACAGGCATACTGCAGGGGTCCTGGCTTGTACGTCACCATGTGGTGGTGAAAAGAACAGACTGTGCTGCACTTCACTGAACATGTAGTGTTGTTGTTCCTCTACTAAATGGGCTTTTGTTTTTCAATATATAGATAAGTTCTTCACAACAATATTTGCGTGCATCATTGACACAAAAAACAACGCTTTGAATGGACTTTTGTTTGTAAGCCAACACATACTTTAAATAACTGTAATGCCGTATAATGAAAATAATGTGGCTCTACTCTGCTGTGGTTTTCAAAAGAATGAAACCATTTAAACTTCTTAACTTTGAAAGAGTTGCAGGCAGCACTACTTACTACAAAGAGTTGCACAGCAGGCTGCTTGGGTGCTACTGTGTTGGTTTTCTTGGCTTTGACAATAACCTTGACTTCATCATCTGACAACCTGGCCTCCAGCTCTTCAGCGTATTTCTTTCTCTTCACCTGGCGATTGGATCGTCTCTTCTAGAAAAAACAAGACAAGGTGAAAGAAGCACATCTTTAAAAATATTCAACTGATACCTCACTTTACATCAGTGTATCACTCAAGTTATCAGAACTCAGCAGTAAACCACACTGAAAATCAGAGTAAACTAATTAAAGCTGCCTACTGCTTAGCTAAACACATTTTCAGTTCATGTAAATCAAGGTAACAGCAATCCCCACACATTGTGGTTATTACCATTAATACTTTTACTATAATTCTCATTCTCATTTATATCTATAGTTTTGATACACCATTCCTCTAGCTATTTATATGTTTAGAAAATTACATTAGAGTACTANTTTCTACAATATCACTGTATCAACAGGCCTTTTATTTTCATATTAAATTTCTTGGTGATGGATGAAAAGAATCACAAAACTATTTAACATTCACACTAACCCATATTAAAAAGGATAATATGGGTTCTCCATCCTCCCGATGGCCGCGAAAAAACATAACCCATAAATGACCTAAATTTTAATAAACTAAGGAAGAAATTCAGAAAAACATTATGCTTTGCAAGTCAGAAAAAAACCCCAGAAAAAGACGAGTGCTTAAAAATCCAGTTTCTTTCTATTCCTTCCTGTCAAGCCTTTTATAATTATCATATGCGTGGGCTGCTGTATCCTGCATCAATACAAGAGCCCCTCCTAATGATAATATGTAGTTAATTAGGAATAAATGCCACTGAGCCAAAGTTAATTAGGTGTGGAGTACAATATCCCCATGGAGATATACCCTCACATCCCCAAGCCCAAGCTGACCAGAAGCTAGGAAGTCAAACCTGCCACATGCCATGACAATAGGGCTGAACCCCTGAGGTGGCCACGCTCCTGTTCTAGCTGTCAGCCATGCTACCTTGACTTCTTCCACAGGAACATCCTAAATGAGTCATCAACAGACTGTTTTAATTAAGGCCAGGGGCGCCATTTAACGAGCGTAATTATATCAAAGGCAATAGTCCGGATAGGACGCAAAAAGGAGAGAGAGAGAGTGGTGGGGCGAAGGGGGAGACAGAGACACTTGGTAAGTTGTCGATCAATACCAGACAGCAATTATCCATGTTCCGATATATATGAATGTGAGATTTTTTGGTTGATTTGGATCATTTTTGATTTTGGAATTATGTCGGTGTATATCCAAGTTTGTATGTGACTATCTACAACAAAGTACTCCCACATTCAGTGATAAATTAATAGCTTAATTACTCATAACTGAGCTTTAAATCATAGAGCATTTTAGGTGAGAGTCCGTCGAATAGTTAAGATTTCGCATAGTTTTTTATTTAAACAGAAATTATATTTACTTTATCCCATTTTTCTTCCAGCTGCTGTTATTTTCTTCAAAGTAAGGTAAACTAACCTTCAGCTCATATGTTTTGTACAACTCCTTATCCACTGTCGTGTTCATCTCATCATCAGGATGTACTGGATCCCACCCTCCCCCCTGTTATTTCTTGTACCTCAGAAAATCTCAACTTCGGGTGAGCAATCATTAATTTTCATTGTATTGAGTGGAAAATAAAATGTGGCTATCATTTTTCTGGATTAAAAAAAAGACGTGATAATTTAATTTTGCTAAGTGTTATGTTATCAAACTAAAATAAAAACCTGGAGGATATTAATTTCACTGGCTGCTCTGGCAACAACATTCCCTTTTAAATGAGAAACTGTTAAATTTCGGCGTGTGCGTGTGCACACGAAGGTGCTATTGTTGTGTTATGTGTGATAAGAATGTGTACTTGAGATAGCCACCCACTGCACGACCTCCACGTGAACCACAGAGTCAATCCTGCCAGGCTCAAACTAAAGCTGGGAAGCCTTCCCCTAGGCTCAGCAGCAGTGTGAACAGTGAGACCATGGACACCACGTTACTGAATACCTTGGAACGGAATGGCAACGGAACGCTTTCTCTTAGCAGAGGTTTGACACCACAGATGATAAACATCAACACCACATCTGATTAAAGGAGGGGGATTAAAAAACTGTCAAGTGAAGAGAAATCCCCACCTAAAAGTGTTTCCCTAATTGATAAAGTGAGATGAAATACACTCCAGGCACCCCCAAGCATTACAGCCCCGGTTGCAATAATAGTGACTTGTACTGTAGGTTTCTATGTCTGTCTGCGTTTATTTGTGAGTGTGTGTATGTGCTGGATCTTACAGAGTCGACATCTTTAGAAGTGTGTCGAGGGGGAGGGTCATCATCAGACTCTTCTGAAGACTCTGGCTTTCGTTTTGTCTTCTTCCCAATCTTGATGACAATTTTCCTGTGGGAGGGAAAAATACACCATGATTACAATGAGGTGAAGGCCAAAGTAATGAAAACCTGTTCCAAGAGAATATTATAATGTTTATTGCATTTTTTATGAAGTATTCTGTTGACAAGCGCTTTAAAAGATACAACCCAGAGAGAGAGACAGTCTTTAAGCATTTGACAGGTATAAAAATGAAATCACTTCATGTGTATAATCAAAATCTAGGTATACTTAACCCCAGTGTTTATGCATGTTACAAATGGTATCATTTTCATTTCAAAAGGTCTCAAATAAATAATAAATAATAAATAATAAATATCTTCAATTAAGTGAACTTGTGCATATAGGCCTACAAAATACTAACACAGAATTATGTTCACTACTGCATGGGCTAATTCATTTTTTTAAGCAATTTTACTGTTGCTGAAGCTTTCTCATAGTTTAGGCTAATCTTCAGATTAAATTCACTGCATTTTACACACAATCAAACCTACATCACTCACACTGAAATCACTTTAAAAGAGATCTCTTTGCCAGCCCTGTCCTTACTGGGCACCAATACAGCTACCAATAAACCTTCTCATGTACATACAGGCATGTGAGTGTTGCTTTAAGATAGACTTGTTAAGATTGTGAACCTTGACTCAAAGCACAAGAGACCACAATTGTTTTGAATGTTAGCATAATCTTTTAATGCCAATTCGACTCTTTCACAGCTCTTCACAGCAAAATCCCACATAGAAGAGAATTGATATTTATTTCAAAATAAAGCGTTAAAAATATTCAGTTAATTGTGCACTAAATCTAAATTCATACATTTTAACTGCCTTTTTAGTGGGTGGATAAGGAACTGTGAGGGACTATTTTAAATGGATTATAGGAAAAGGATGAGCCTGTGTTTTCATACGGATGTTAAAAAGAGGCTTACACTGAGAGACCATGGCAGACAAACAACGTTAAGGTTGGTAATGTCTGGCTTAAAAAATAAATAATATAGACATCCAAAACCCATTTACTAGCCCCCTGCAGGTTTCCACCAGTATGCAAGATGGAGTGAAACAAGAGATCGTAGATTTGCATCTGCTGCACTGCAGTCCATAAACCATACATGCATTTGCAGCAGTAGCCTATATTATATAAGGATCTCTCCCTGCACAGCTGTCAGCCTGCAATGTTCGAGCCCAACATACATACAACAGCAGCTTGGGGACCGGCTGAAGTATGGTAGGAAATGCTTACACGTATTAACATGCTCACAAAGGGAGCTGCCCGAGTTCATGGAGAAAGGAATTCAGTGCTTTGCTAAAGCTCCAATCTAGTCGGCGGGTTCGGAGCAACGACATTTGATCATAATTTGGCAAATATTTTTCCCTTTAAGCTACCATTGCTAGTTTGTGAGTTGTAATTCTCACCATGGCCTAATGTACGACTGCAGTACCAAGACAGACTGCTGGTACGTTATCCTATCAGGAGCCCAAATAGCAGCAGATTGCACAATGAATAGACGCGAGCTTTTACTCTTCGCCCGCGCTTCATCCTCTAACTCTCTCCTCACACGCAATCACATATTATTTCTGTGACCTTTCCTCATATATTCTCTCACCACATATGCAGACACTTCCTATCTTGCGCCTCTCCACATGTATTATCTCTTGGAAGCCACAGGCGCCAAATCTCTGGCTTGGTGTGATGTTAATGGGAAAAATAAAATAAAGACACTGCTATCATACTGAAACAAGACGGCATCTTCGCTCTCTCACTCTCCAATGTGCTTGCATACACATAAATGCACACAGCCTTTCCCACATAGGCAAACATGCTTCATACTCCATAAACACACACACACAATCACAGGCTTACTCAGACAGACTGCTGCATGAGCAGGTATGTCTCTAGTGAGAAAGATGTCCCTGCGGGGCTTATTCATATGAGATTACATTAGAGACTCATATCGAGTGTGAACAAAGATTCCCACACTAGTCAGTATCTTCTCCTGTTAGCCAATAAGTCACTGTTATACGGCAAGTCAGCTCTTTAGACACCAAGTGGACCCACTAGACAGCAGGTATACAGTATATTAGCTCGTTTAACAAGTGAACCATTTAAAGGAAACGCTGCCCATTTAAAAAAAAAATAAAAATCTGTGTATTAGATCTTGGGGCGGCATGTCAATAAGCTTCCTAATATTGTTTCTATTAGTGCTCCAAGCTGTGGTATCCTGATGTATTTCCACCATAAACTGTCAGAATCTATTCACATCTGAGTATGTTAAAGAGAGACATCTGACTGACATATAGTATTTATAAATACAGCTTTAACCCAACTTCTTTTCAGCTCAGCTGATTGTGATGTCCATTCAATTCACGAGACTGACAATTTCTTAGTCTGTGTGAATGTCTTTGAAGTAGGTGCACGTATCCTATCCCTAATCCATGTACTAAATGACACAGGTTTATACTGCAGGTTGAACACAGGCCCACAGAATATAATAGATCTGTACATTGTCATTGCTTTTATCAATTTCCTTAAAATAGTCACAGACAAACTTCAGACACGTCAAACTAACTTGATGAGTTGCCATATTAGCACCTGGTCAACAGGGGGTTCAACACATCACTCACACCAATGTAGCTTCCACAACAAAAACGCAAAAAAAACATTGCAAGCTGAAACCGAAGTGTTTATATGTATCAATGGTATTTCAGGACACGCAAACACTCAAACACACATCTATTGTGATTTCAGAAAGTAGAAAACAGCAGACTCTTCCAGCAGCACTGTGCTAAAGAGATGTCCCTTCTTTCTGGTCTCCCTGCCCCCCTCTGGATGATACTACATCTCACAAATCCTCTTGACAATGACACTTTATGGTTGCCATGCAACGTGCCCTCGGCAGTGTATTTATCAATGTGGGCGGCAATGTTCATGGTGACATCACTTCCTGTGAAAAACAACACCAATACATGTCCACTGACACTATGAATGGCTGAGCCAATGTGACAAGTCAGAGTGACACAATGAAAGAAAAACTAACCAGCTGTGATATCCAGAAGAAAAGAGAACAAACATAAAGCAGCTGAATGGGACAAAACACAATATTCTTCCTCTACCAAATAAAAGCTGGCTGGGATACGGGCCTTGCAGAATAACAGTGTCACATTACCAGGCAGCAGCTCAGCAGCTAACAGCATACAACAGGGCTAAAGTATCTCTCTGATCCCCATATGGGAAAACCTGAACTGTGAAACGAGATACTTGAGGGCTGTGAAATCCTCGGGTGAGCCAGTACAGACAGACACCATTGATGGCGAGGTGGCTCCTTGGTACTGCCATATACTATATGTAAACATGGCGATTACAAGAGCAACACGGCATAGTTAGATGAAAAGTATACGTTCTACAAACACACGTGGAAACACACAAAGCGCAAGCCACATCTTAGAGATGGTTACAGCCTGTTCCACCCTGCTGTGGCTGATACACAGGACCACCCAGGGGTTTACGAACACCAGCGCTAAAGCACACGCTGCCTTCGACTGGATAACCTCGCCATAAGCGGAAAGATATTAACGCAAATGACAGGGAGGAAACACAGACTTTCAAATCAACCTCTTACTGAGGAAAAGAGGTCTGAAAGCAGTCAGATACACTGTTCAGGGTCACAGTCAAGTCTCTGTGATAGAACAATAACCCACTTTGAATTATCAGAGAAGGATGCATACAAGGTGGCTAACATCACAACAAGCTTAATAAAGAAAACTGACCAAATATTCTGGGCCTCACATAGCTTGAAATATACTTTAACAAAGAAATATGTGTGCTAAGTGTAATGTTGCGTGCTCAAGAGGCTGGATATTCTATGCAAGCCTGCTGGTTATGGGAACACTGAGGCACACTAGTAATGACAGAGCATTTGGCAAGGAGCTTTGTAACAACTGTCATGTATTTTGTTGTTGAATCAAAGGAAATACAAAAAGAATAGACATGTAATCAGTCAAGCAATGCAGAGACACTGTTAAAATATGGCATCTGGATCTTCTTTTACAAAAGGTGAAATATACAGTTTAGGTTAAGAGCAACCGAGTGATAGTCCTGTGGTGTGCTGGTGATCAAATTAGTGAACTATTCCACTTGTAATAGAGGAAGAGGGGTCCTACTTTTAAATCTTAACAGTTCCACTGATGTGTTAGAGATCATTTAGGCTGAGTAGGACTTCTTGTTGACTCATATTTGGATGACAAACTGTATATCTAAAAAAAACACCAGATATTAAATGATCATCTGACATCTTTATTGCTGAGGACATTCATAGTTGTCTTGTGATTATTACTTACTCTGGAACTCTTTAGTAAGCAGGGAAAAGCTTGCTTTTCTATAATTAAAACAGTAAATGATACAGGGAGATGGGAGTTAGGTATGGAAGGTGTGCTAAATTTATATTTCATTATTTTGATACCAGAAATAAAACCAACAGTTCATTTCAAATTTCAAATATTAAATATTTGACATGCCATTCTTTCAATTAATTACTATTATTTGCAAAACTGTCACGATGCAGACACAAAATGAATATCTTATAACATTAATGTAATTTCCATTGTAATAGATACCACAATAATTATCATATTTCACTTCCCATGTGAGCCCATGAGAAGCCTTTCTTCTTTAATTTCACCACTGCATATTCTTCTACAGCACCTTGCTTCAGATCTGTACATTTAGAAGTATTTGGATGGTGCTGGCCACCTTGAATGTTTGCTACTGATGAAGAGGAAAGTGATTTATTTGCTTCTACACCAGGATTTAAAGAGGCCAACCTCCAGACATAATCTTGCATCTCTAATTAGACTACAGCTGCCCCCGATCTGACATTCCAGAGTGATCCCTGATGATAGGCTACCACTAGCTTTTTCCTGAGAGCGATAGCCTAGTTGCTTCTTCGAGGCTTGCTTGGCTCCCATCCTCCTATTGTGCCAAATAACCTCCATCCCTTGTCCCCCCAGTGTTGTCCT